TAAGTAAGTAGTAGCAAAGTTCTGTACCATGAGCATGGTATCCATAGTCTGTTGAAAGATTGATGGTGCTACTTTTATCCCAAATGGCAATCTGTTAAATCTTTTGTGAGTATTGATACATAAAATTTTTGTACTTTCTTCTTCTACTGGAATCTGAAGATAAGCTTTGCTTAAATCAATCTTAGAAAATACTTTACCACCGTTAAGCTTGGTAAATATTTCCTCCGGGCTTGGCAATTGGTAGTGATAATCCTTGATAGCCTTGTTTAACCCAGTCGAGAAATCTGCGCAAACACGTGTTTCTCCAGATTTTTTCTTTACGTAGACCACTGGTGCCGCCCATTCACTGAATTCAATTTTTGAAAGGATTCCAGTTTGTACCAATCTATCTAACTCCTTGTCAATTTTTTCTATGGTTGCGAAAGGCACATTTCGCTTTTTCTTGAATACTGGCTGAACATTTTCCTTTAGTTCAATTTATTACATCGTCCCAAACCATTCGAGAATACTTTGAGAAATTGCCTGTGTAGTTCTTCTTTTAATTTTGTAGCTTCTGATGGTTCGCACTCTATTTTCTTACAAAATGAGCTAATGGGTAAACCCCATACGTCAAATTTTGGCATCCAATCCATGCCCACCAAATTTTCTGTGTCTTTCATTACAAATATCTTCAATTTTTTCGTTTTACCATGGAATTTTACGTTTAGAATTACTTCTTCAAAATTGATATGCCTCCCTGTAACAGACTTGGTGATTTTCTGTGTATGCATCATGGTCGGTCTATTTAGCTTCCTCCATGTCTGTAAATTAATTATAGTTAGATCCGATCATGAGTCTAACTGTAATTTTACCTTCTTTTTTAAGATCTTGAGTTCCACGTATTTTCTTGTGTTTAGTTTGTCTTCGTAGTCCATTCTTGTAGTTCTTACCCTACTAGTGTGTTTTTTGTTTCTGCATTGAGATGCCTTATGTCCCATTTTTCCACAAGCTAAACAGTTCTTGTATTTAAATCAACAGTCTTTATTCCAGTGGAATCCACTGCATCTGTAACATGCAGATGGCAGTTGGGGGGCTTATATTTGCTTTGATCTCTGTCATTAATCGCCTTATACCTTGTAATTTTTTCTTTATCATAAAATTTTTGTTTTTCTTTTGGAGGGGGTGAAAAATGTAACGTTTTGTTCAACTTACGTATGTGTGCTACTCCCGATTCCTCGATATCCTTAGAGTCTTTTTTTTATACTCAAGCATTTTTGGCAGTCTTCTGACAATTTTTGTAGCGTTAATCCAGGCTTGTTTTGAAGCTTTGTGAGCATTCTTTTTCGCATTTCACTGTCCTTGGCTGAGACTAATCCCTGTTCGAAAAAAAGACACTCAAAATTGTCCGGAGTCAATTCTGCCAATTTAAAGTCATTGCAATATTTGTTCACAATTGCGGCGAATGTGGAGTAGTCCTCATTTTCGCTTTTTACGAGGTTGAGACATTTCCACTTTTTGTGAAAAGGTGAAGTCTTTGGACTGAAGAGCTCTGTAAGGCATGTAACTGCCTCGTCAAATGTCAAATCGTTTGTCTTTTTTGGTAGAATATAGTCCACAAATTTTGTGTACTCCTCTGTTCCCAATTTCCTGAGTAATAAACGTAGCTTCTTAGCTTCTGTCCAATTTTAGCAATCAATGTTGAAAATGTCTTCATGCCGTCTGTAATAGTCCCCGAAATTTTTATCATCTTCTAGAGAGTATTTAAATGTTTCTATTGTGTTCCAAACTGCGACTTGAGAAAAAGTTGACTCTTTTTCAATATTCTTCTGTTGTGTGTTAACCGTTACTTTTAATATTAATTCCTGGAGTTGCATTTGTCTTTCTTCATTTATTAGCTGTCTTTCCTCACTTATAAACTCAAGTATTGCTTTTTGAAAATTTTCTATTTTTTTAGGGAGTGACGAAATTTTTCTTCTATCTCTTGTGTACGTTCTTTTATGCTTGTCGTTAATTTGTTGTTCCCCGTGTGAGTTCCTTCAAGTCTTGTCGCCAAGTTGTTGTGGTTGATGTGACACTCGAATTTCCGTCACCAAGTTATTGTGTTGGCGAGTAAAAAAAAATTTTTTTTTTCCCCGTATGTGTCCGTACTCTTTGTCGTCAAGTTGTTGTGTTGATGAGAGATAAATTTTTTTTTTTTTTTTCCCCATGTAGGTCCGAAGTCTTTGTCACTAAGTTCTTGTGGACACTGGCAACAGCAAATTTTTTTTTTTTTGTTTTAAGTCCCTGTGAAGTGCGAATTCCTCATCGCCAAGTTGTTGTGGATTCCGTGAATGGAATCCTGCACAAATAAATAAACAATGCCAGAAATTGAGATAGAAAAATAAGTATATTAAACGTAAGAATACAGACTTGAAGTGAAGATTAGTAGTCCAGGAATGTGAGTTAGTAGAAAGTATATGTACAAGTCTCTGTAAGTAAAGCCGTAATTCTCTCTGTCTCTCTCTCCTCCCCCCCCTCTGGTATAACTCACTGAGAACACCCTGTGTCTGTCTCTGTATCTCTCAACGTATCTCAATATTTAACAGTCCCCCCACGAGGAATGTATGTGGCACAAGGCCGAGTTTAACGTGGGTTTCTCCGAGCCCATAGGCTCGGCCAAAAATATACCCTTTGAACCCACCTAGACGTGTTCAGGGCCTGTCTACCTCCCTGGACAAAACTTTGCCCTTTGGCAAAGCTCGTCCGGGTTCCTCTCTGCCAAAGCAGAGAGTTTGACATCTCAACGTATCTCAGCAGCAGGTATTCTCTGTCAGTATAAGTATACTTTGGACGAGTCCATCTTATATAAAAAGAGGAGAGCCCCACAACAATAACAGTAATAACTTTAATACCAGGAGTTGTTTGGATTTTTTATTTCTTTTATATTTAAAAAATTTTTTTTAAAAATTTTATTTATTTTTACTAATACATCTTTTTCTTTATAAGTTTATAACCAGCATGGGATTAAATGAGATTATTTTACTATTCACCATTGGTAGTCACTTAACGTTTTAGGAGCTGACAGGAGTGGAGGATACATAAGCGTAGAAGAGGCAAATGTCCTCCAAGCTGTTCTGTTGCCAGTTGTTAAGATCCAAGAAACTTTCCTTGGTTTGCATAATGCTTTGGTCAGTGTTGTGCATTCTGATTTGTTTAAACCTAGCCAGTTTCTGTCTTTCAAATCATTTCACTATTAAAAAAAAAAAAACAAAGAACAAAAAAACAGTAAAATTAAAAGAAACATGTGCTAAGTACTTAAAGAATGATATCAATAGTTTAAAGAACATTTGGAATGCTAATGACTCTTCTCAAAGTTACAGAAGTTTTCTTTTTTGCATTTAGGCTGAAAAATAGTTTTCATTTTTCCTGCAGACTATTGTCAGTTATTTTATGAGTGGCAAGCCTGACTCATTAATGAACCTGAGTGGTTACTCAATTAAGTGTCAGTAAATGGGGATTTCACATTGTCAGATAAAGACATTAGTGGCTTAAGTGGAATAAAATTGACTTTAAATTGGTTTCTGATCATTGAAGAAAAACACGCATACACAACTTGTTATAGCTACTGTTGTGATTAAGTAAATTTGCAACATATACACATTAAGAACAAATAAATTGAAAAATCTTAATTGAAAATATCTTATATATTTTTTATTATTAAACCTTTAAAAACGGACATTTTAAAAATGTATATAAAAATATAGATTAATGGGACAAAAAAGCAAGTACAGTGTAACCCGGATATAAGAGAATTGTCGGGACCGGAGAAGAAGTTCTTATATCTGGGTTTGGTCTATTATATATACATTAACACAGGCTCTAATTTGGGACCAGAGAAAATCTCTCTTATATCCGGGTTACACTGTATAAGAAAAAAAATGACTACCATAAAGTGGAAATCAAAAAATAGAAATAAAAAGAAATAACAGACAAGCCCTTATATATATATTTTTTCAATTCACCATTTTACATTGAGTAATTTTTTTTCTCTTTTCTTTGCTCTTCTTCCACTGTTTTAAATTTATATATAATTTTTAATTATTTTTTTTTACTTAAATTTTGTACATCCCCCCCACTCCCAGATTATTCATATTTTTTAAATATACACTCTTCAATTTATTACATTTTACTGGAACAATAGAAAGAAATTTCATGCTCGGAATGTTGAATAGTAAAATTGATTGTAAGAAAATCTAGTTTCAGTCGGTATTGATTTCCTGAATGAATATAATTTTTTATAATCATGATCTCTCTAGAAAAGGTCCGGTTTCAGCTCCATTGACGTTTAAGTATTCGCTCAATAGTAAGGGAGGTAACCGATTTCGAACCTAAGGGGGACGTAATTTTCCTTCATTTATATGAATAATTTATATTTTTATTTTCTAATTATATTTTATCATACTATTTATATTTTATTATAATTATTGTATTTTATCTTAATATCATAATTATATTTCTTTTTTATACTAATGTGATTTAACCCTGAAAATAAAATTTTTTTTCTCTTTTAGCAAAACCAATTTTTTTCTTAATTGGAGATAGGAATACAAGAAACTTGACATCATATAAAATTTTACTTTAAGAACCTTAGCTGGACAGAATAGAATTAATTTTTTCTTTAAGTGATCTGTGGGTATGTAAGGAGTAGCAGCTTGGAATGAGAAAAGGCTGAGTTTGTTGTATTCACTCATGCACAAATACTCTTAGGAAAAGTATAACTTTCCATTCTTCACCCAACTATGAGTTAAATAAGTAGGATTTACATCTAGAAAAAAATCTTATCGGCAAAATCCCGTTAATGAAATATTCAAAGGGTTGATAAACCATAAAATCAAATCATCAATCATTAATTTAATATATTTTAAATTTACTTGTATCTTTCTATTTTCCATTCTGTGAATATAAATCTGTTTATTTTATTTAAAAAAAATTTTTTTTTAAATTTTCTAATTAATTTTGCATGTATCTATTTTATTTTTCAGAAATTTGATAAAATCTTGATTGCTAACCGTGGCGAAATTGCTGTTCGTGTTATCAACACATGCAAACGTTTAGGGATCAAAACTGTTGCTGTGCACAGTAGCATCGATTCCATGGCTGTAAGATCTTTTTTTGCACTTTTCAAAATAACTTGTTAGTTATTCTGAGTTTAAGGCACAAATTTATTCAATTCTATACCTGACCTGCTGATAGGTAATCATAATTATTTCAATTGTTTTTGTTTTTTGTTAATTCCTGTCTCTGTATATTATTTAATTTCCTGAGTACTGCACAAGAACCGATATAACATTTCTGAATATTTAACCTTCTATACCACAATAGTTCAGGGCTTTCACATACAGAAATTTACTAGTTTTACTACTGGAAAATTTAGAATATTAAAAAAAATAATAATTTAGGATGTAATCTGACTCTTCATTTCAAATTTTTAAGATACTGTTTTTAAATGGTAATTAACTTAATATAGGTAAAAATCCACTGTTTAAATAAATTCCATCCTGGGTATGATGATAAACTACATCCGGCAGCAAGGCCTCTGAATAAGATGTTTTGAGGAGCATGGAACCACCTCTTAATTGCTGTTGTTCCCAAGTCCTCCCTGACCCGGGGTGGTAGCACCTGTTAGGGGGTCCCAGCTATGGGTCAATAGTAAACCCCCAAAACTGGAGTCAAAACACTATGAAAATATAAAATACTTTATAGTAAAAATATCTGTAATGCATTTTCATACTAAAAAAATTACTAGCAATACATTTTTGTAGAAGAAATTACTAATGCCCCCAAGAAAATTAAATTTCACAGTAAGTGACCCATAAGGAGTTGATATACCACTAAACAAGTAACCTAAATAAGTTTATCATATTGAAATAAAAATTCTACCTTGCATGCAAACATATCTTGCATTCTGAAGTGATATCGACAGCATTGGATTTGAAATTATTATACAAATTATTCTGTTAACTTTTGCTTTAAATTCCTTTGTTGGGCCAATAGTATTTACACTATGCACATTCATAGATAATGAATTGCTTCAAGAAAATTATTGTAACACTTGCCAAAATATTAGTATAATTAAAAACAGTTTGTTTACCTGCTTACTTAAAATACAAGCAAAAATAATAATAGCTATACTCTACCAAACTTTTCATCTACAACCTTAAAATTTGGTATCCATACTTGATATTAGAATCAGGGATGGTTTTAATGTGTTAAAAAAAAATGGAAATGTGGAAAGATCTTTTGTAATAACAATTACTGTTTGTAAACTAGTTATGCCTAAAGAAGAAAAATATTTTTATTTTTCCTAAAAGTAATTTCAATGAACAGATTTTCCCTCAAATATATTTTCTACGTTTCATAGAATTTCTTCATTGGAAACTTACCAGGAACAAATAGAATCTTTTTTTTTTTATTGATTCTGATGAAGCTAGTGCACGTAAGCAATAATAATGACAATAACAAAGATATTATAAAATAAACATTTCTCAGTCCTACATTTCTTTTACGTAGGTATTAAAAAAGGTACTTTCTAGGACATATTTATATCTTCTGCTGTTTCAAATAACTTCTCATTAGTCTTACTAGTTCACTGTTATAGTACTAAGTCATTATAACTAGTTGCAATCTAAGTTTTGACCTCTTACCTGGCAATAGAAGGTTACTTAAGCTAGTATGTTAGGTCTGACCATAACTGGAGTTTCCACTTGCTATTATTATTTTTGCTTGTATTTTAAATAATTAATCATATATATATGGAAAATTAATGACAAATTGGGGAAAAATGTTTTTGTGTGACTCATTTCATCCTTTGGGACATCGAAAGTGATGTTTATGTTGTAACTACACATGGAGAGGATGCAGAAATTTCTCTCTTTTAAATTTTTTTATTTATTTTATTTTAATGTGTTTGGGTATATAGTCTAACTGATTTCATTTAGTTTCTTTTTCTTCTTGTTTCTCTCACTTTTGTTATTAATTATCCCACATTGTAATAATAGAAGATCTGTCAAGAAAGGTGAAATGTTTTAAGAACCTGGACATAAATTTGCTGTGAATGATCTAGCGAGTAAAATTTTTTTCCACTTTGTCATTAATTTTAATAACATTCTTCTTGTATGTACAAAGTGATATATCATTTTCCCTCTCTATCTATCTAATATATATGTCTATTAAATTTAAAATATTTTCCTCAAAGTATTAAAATATCTGACTTAATTTCACCATGACTTTATTTAATATATATTTTCTTGTTACAGCTACATGTTCAACTTGCTGATGAAGCTGTGTGTATTGGCCCAGCTCCAACCAATCAGAGCTATTTGGATATGGATGCCATCTTGAATGCTGTCAAAGACACTAAAGCACAGGCTGTAAGTTTGAAGCATTCACTTCTCTGATATTTTGGTCAGCCTGGAGAAATTCGCACCTTTTGTACTTAAGTTTTTAAGTACACCTATAATTTTGAGAATTCCTTACCATGTTAAATTGGTTTTCAGGAGCACAAACACTATTTTCAATCGTTTTACTAGAACTGGTCCTTCATGAAGGAAATAAGATTGCATTTAAAGCAAATATTGAAAAGAATATGAGAGAAACCAAATAATTGCTGAAAGTCAAATTTAAGGAACATAAATGCATTATATATATATATATATATATATATATATATACACAGTGTAACCTGGATATAAGAGAGTTGTTGGGACCGGAGAAGAAGTCTCTTATATCCGGGTTACACTGTGTGTGTATATATATATGTAATGAAAAAATCTTGCCTATTGGGAACTGAAGATGTAGGATGGAGGATAACATTGGTGGTAGTGACCACAACCAGTAACAGTGGGGGATTGGTTGAGGGTCATGAGATCATGTGGATGTGTCGTCGAGTGAAAGTGGTGAAGTTGAGAAAGAAGATAGAGGGCCTATGAGAGATTAGCGATCCTCTGTGTAGGCGATACATGGACGGAAAATAAAAAGAGGGTTTGTTTCATTTCCATGGAGACCAATTTGGTGAGAAACCTGAGTTTTTCTGCCCTTGAAATACAATAAGAAAGTCCTTGAAAGTGAAACAAGGAAAGTCTTGTGTATAGCTGACTCTATCTGGATAGAGAAAGATCCATATTACTCTCAAGAATTTTTTATATCATTTCACCCTAAGTCAGGTGATAATGCACTAAGATACAATGGGTTACTGGGAATGAAAGAGAATGAGTAGAATTTAGTGAGGAGAAAGTACTATAAAAGAACAAGTTTCAGGAAGACAGAAAATGGTGATTGACATTGAACCAGCTATGGGTTAATTAGTAAGACTTGTATTGCTAAACCATTATCCTTTCCCCAATTTTTGCAATCTAATATTTTCTGGCTTTAAATAACCTGTAAAGGGTTGATAACCATGGAGAATGAATTTATTCATCAATCAAGCCAAAAGAGACTTATCTGGAGAAGGCTTTAGGATCTTTTGGCCAAAATGTTGTAACAAAAAGCAAAATAAAACTGGGACAATCTATTTTTTTTTTTTTTTTCCCAATACCCTGATATTGACATAAGATAGCATAAGTAGCCCAAGCGCTAACAAATCAAGTAGAATATTGTGGGTGTGAAGAAAACAAAATCCCTGGCGGTCATGCTCCCACCTACAAGCATACCATATCTACCATAACAAGATATATGTTCTCTGTTGCATTTGTTACTCTCTTTGCAAATGAAACTACACACCTTTCTCCCATGTCAGTGTTCTCCTATTATACCCAAGGATGCTATCACACACACAAGATTGAAAAAGCCATGATTTTTCCAATGCTGCTCTATTATTGAGGAGTTAGAATGAAACTTTTAGAAATATTAAATGTTGGAATATCAAAAAAAAAAAAAAAAAAAAAAAATCACATAATGAGAAACTAAAGCTAAGGAAGCATGTGGCAAATTAAAAACTAAAGCTAAAAAATTTCTTAGACAAAAATCAATAAAAAAAAACTGCTGACGTCTCCTTAACCATCACCCAAAAAAAACTTTTGGGAGGCATTAGTCTATTTGTGTGGTTTTTTTTTTTTTCACACAGTAATTAACTCTTGTGACTGGAAGTTAATTTTCTGCAAGCAATGTAGCTCTTCACAATATTTTTTAATTGTGCAGGGCTCTGCTAGGTATTTAGTCTATTTTTTTTCCTTCAAATTACAATTTTAATGCACATTGTCTGTACTTTTCAAAATGACTCAACATCTTTATATTTTAGCACAAAGATTTAAATGCTTTGTTAATTGTTCCACTTGAGGTGACATAATTAATTACCCCCCTCCCTTTCAAATATCTAAATGAGAGATTACCAGATGTACCCTTATCCGAAGAAGGCTAAAGAAAGCACAACAGTAGAAACATTGTAATGTAAAATAACAAGGACAAGAATATTTGTGTTGGATAGTTAAGTAAAGACTATTCTCATTGCTACTGTGATACCACCTCCTGCCATTTCTGGTTAGCTGAGGGCCAGGACATAAATAATCAGTATTTGTGTGATGCCAATAGTGCTTGATTTGGTGAGTCAACTAAAAAGTTACTTGTCTTATCCAGTGGAAGAGGGTTCAAATTAACCAGAAGTCTTTTGTCATAGCATTAATTGGATAGAAATATATTTGTGGGAGACAATGGTTGTCCAATTCACACACACACACAACAGTTCATTGTAGTTCTCCCCATTATATGCTGATTAAAAGGTTACATATTGTTGTGGAGTGATTTCATAGTGGAGGCTTGTATTTGTACTAAGTCGGTCCTAAAATAGGTTTGATGTACAAAACGTTAGTAACTTGATATAATAGGTATAATGCAGAGTAATCTAGTTGTGGTTGCTGATACTTTAGTATTCGACTCACGGTCGTCCGGCATCGACTGACTGACCGCCTCACTGAGCGACTCCCTTGTTACTCTTACTACTCTTACTTATTATAGGTGGGAGAGTCTATTAACTATAGAATAGTTGTGTTCCACTATAACGCATATATAACAGTTGGTGTGAATAATTAATGAAATAATCCCTCTCTTAACTCAAAATAATTTCTGAAAGAAAGTTTCTTTTGGGTGTTTTGTGTAATACTATAAAAAATTTCAATGAATTCAGTTTTTCCTTTCTAAAGGAAGTTTCCAAACTAGACTCCCACAAGGCAAGCAGAGGTGACAGGATTTCAGCAGTCATCTTAAAGAAATGTATTCCCCAGCTGGTTCCAGTTTTCTCCAAACTCTGTAACAATTGCTTTGTTGCTTCCTAGCTTGTTGGAGGTCCTCCTCTGGTGTTCCTGTTTTTAAGAACTCTGGAGAACCCTCTAACCCTCTCAAATTATTGCCCTTACTCTTACTGTTTTTCGGTAAAGTATTTGAGGCTCTAATCAATGCTGAAATGATTTAGCATCTTATTTCTCTTGACCTCCTCTCAGACAGACAATATGGCTTCTGTTTTGCCAGGCCTACCACTGATATGTTATCAGCCATCACTGAATATGTAGATCAGCTCTTGATAATGATGATGAAGCTTGAGCTGTGGCTCTAGATATCTCAAAGGCATTTGACATGGTTTGGTATGTTGATCTTTTAAACAAGTGCCAAAGCTACAGTATCACAGGATGAATGTTTGATTTAATTGTTCTTATCAAATCATAAAATGAAGATCCTTTCACATGAATGCAGGTGTCTCCCAAGGTTCTATCCTGGGTTTTACATGGTTCCTGATCTTTCTCAATGATCTCCCTGATGTCATCAGTTCCTAACTAGGCATCTATGCAGATGACACTACCATTCACTCCTGTCTTAATAGCAAATCCATCAGAGCAGACAAAGTAAACCTGGCAGCTACTGTTGATAAGGACCTCCAATCAGTGGTTAACTGGGGCAAGAAATGGCTTGTAAATTTTAACATCTCCAAAACAAAACTGCTTTTCTTTTCTGCCTGCATGGCTGATGCTAGACTCCTGGAGAGCAACACACTGGGCCTTCTTGGCCTCACATTTTCAACTGACGAAGTGGAGTGACTACATCCAATTAATAGCTGTATCGACTGTTAGTAAAGTTGGGTCACTGTGTGGTGCCAGAAAATTTTTCTTATCAGAATCCATCTTGCATATTTATAAATCTACCATTTGTCCATGCATTGAATACTGCTGCCATATCTGGTCTGGTGCTCCTGCTATTCATCTCAAAGTTCTTGACAGGATCCAAAGAAAAATCTGTAATGTAATTGATCCTGACCTGGCATCTCAACTTCAGTCAATTTCTCACTGATATGATATGGCTTCTCTTTGTCTTTTCTACAGATATTTTCATGGCAACTGCTCTGACAATTTTTTTTTCCCGGGTACTCCAACTACATGAATTTAAGCGTACTACTAGATTGGCATCTAGGTCCCACCCATTTACTGTTGAAATACCTAAACGCAACTGTCCCTTCTACTCCAACAGTTTATTTTCTCGCACTCCCCACCTGTGAAACTCCCTTCTGTTTACTTACTTCCCTGATAACTACAATCTTCAAAATTTTAAATCCAATGTCAATCGCCATCTGTCTTCTTGAATCCTATTCATCTTTTGTCCTTTCCGCGATCCTCTCTATACTTGGTCTTCTCTTTCACTTTCATTCCCTGCATCCCCGTATATTAGTGGCATTTCTGCCTTGCTTGGGGTGAAATGATAAAAAAACAAAAAATTTTTTTTTTTTTTTTTTTTTTTTTTTCAATTTTCTGTGGTGGTGGAAAGCAAACATCCTGTTTTTCTTTAGAGTCCAGTCTCTTTAAGTCTGTGAAAATGCACAAATAGAGCTTTCTCTCTACTTTTTGTAAAAACCACTACACCATTAGTTATTTCAAATCTACTTTCTGCAATTCCAGGTTAATTTTAGTTATGTTAAAATTGTATAATAATTATATAAAGTACCATATATACTCACGTATCTTGTGACTTTTGACAACCTAATTTTGAAGCTAATTTTAAGTGGGGTTGCATCATAAACGAGATATAAAATTAGCATATGTACTGTTGGCCCTGGCTATGTTGTTGATCAAACTATATATCGATTTACTGTAGTCAAATTAGCTTCAAAATTAGGTCTTCGAATGTTGCATGATATATGAGTCTATATGCTAATTACTGAGCCATAAAATTCCTTTTTGCTTTATTGGTTTCTTTTATGAAGTTATAAGAAGTAACCTAGATAGTTTTGTAAAAGATAAAAAAAAGTCTTAATAAAATTATTTACAATTACAATAGCTATGTGTCAAAATATTTTTCTTCTGTAATTTTTATATATTCACTGAAATATTTCATTAAAAGCAACCAATTTATAAATTTGATATTTGAAGATTTTGAAATCTGACTGAAATTCTTTGAGAATAATAACCTATTTTAAATGCGTAATGCAGCATTTAAAAAGTTACTTTTATAATAGACTTTATTCTGTTCATATTAAAATATCTTGTAAAATTTTAATAACATAATAATACAGTAGGACTGTGAAACTTTTTGTTGCTTTCTGAAGTTTTCTGTCTCCATGTTTAAAACACTGGTCCTGAGTTTTAATTCCACAGGAGTCTAATGTATTCAGTTTAGTTATACAGTGTAACCCGGATATAAGAGAAACCCGGATATAAGAGAGATTTTCTCTGGTCCCAATTTAGAGCCTGTGTTAATGTATATAAAATAGACCTAACCCAGATATAAGAGACTTCTTCTCTGGTCCCGACAATTCTCTTATATCCGGGTTACAGTGTATTATCAATTACTTACATGTTTAAATTTTTATATTGACTCTCTTTGGTTTTTTTTTTTTTTTTTTTTAAACTAATTAGCTTACTGATTAAAAGTTACTATAATTACCTTTTTTTACAAAAGTAATGCTATATTAAGTTACTTTTATGTTAAAATGTTATAACATTGACTGAGTTTTGTTGTATTTTCTAGGTCCATCCTGGTTATGGCTTTCTATCAGAGAATACAGTTTTTGCAGCTAAATTGGTAAGGTCAATGTTTAGTTTTATTCTTTTAGAGAGGTTGTTTAATTCTGAGGTGTTAATGTTTGCCTTGATTGACAGATGAGAAATTTAGACATATGACCTGTCAAAATGGTGATAAGGTCAGCATATAGTTTTGTTTTGATCTCACAAACTGGCTTTGCACAACTTGCTCAGGGAAAGAAGAGTGAACTTCCTTGTTTTTGTTCTGGTCAGTCAAAACATCATTGGCTATCAAGTGAAGATTAAAAGGATTTGTAACAAACACAAATCTCAGAAAGAATACAACAGTTTTGGAACTGTTATTATTTTAACTACCTTTACTCCCACTCCTTTATTCCTTTACCGCAATGTTTTTTTTAAAACGTGATAGTTAGAATTTTAATAAAATCTAAACATATGAAAGTAAATTTATACATTTTCTTTGTTCTTTAGGATTGACAACAAAAATAACATGATTGTTTATTTACATTATTTATTAGTTTGTTTATTGGAATGGTTGGTAAAAGCTTTACAAATTGCCAATTGATTTGAACTTTATAAAATGGTAAATAATAGGGATTTCCTTACAGTTCACATATTTTAATAATTTAGTAAATGTTTGTAAATTTAAGAATAAAAAATGTTTTCATGTTTTTCTTTATAAATTTGTAAATGATAATTATCACATTGCATTAATTGTATTAGTTTTTAGAATGTTGTAAATATAAAATTATGCTTGTAAATAAATAATAGTGTTTAATATTTTTGTTGTAAATTCTCAAAAACAAAAAAAGAAATGTATAAATTCACTTTCATCATCTGTTTAAATTTTATTAAACTGTAATTATTGCTTTTTAAAACAAACATTACTAAGGAGTGAAGGTAGTTAAAATAATAATGGTATCAAGGAAAAAAAAACATCCTTTTTGGCACACCGCTTTTTACATGCACGAATGTTAGATTACCCAAAATACTGTGCTAAAGACGAACAAATTGGTTTATAAGTAATCCTAGTATAATAGAAAACAAGTTATTTCAAATTCCAACGTGTTATTGGATTTCAATTAATACTTGAATTTTTATTTTTATGCTTATCTGTGATTCACTGTTTATTTAGGTCAGGTCAGCCTTTACAGGGCATAATACACATACTCACTAACTCTTATTAATGGTGGGCAAAACAGATTGATAATATGATGCTACCAAAAATAAAAATAATGACAGGTTTGCAAAATACTTCTCACCAACCTTTAGAGCTCATAAGCAATATTGCAAGGATTCTGTCATGTCTGTTGATATTCTAAAACATTCTCACTCCTTAGAGTAGCATGAAAAGTAAGCCCTCTCCCCCACACATACAGTAATGATTAAAAAAAGAGCATTTCTTAAATAGACTGGTCCACTCATAAAAAATATGGAAAATGTTGGGGGGGGGGAGAATTTTTGTACATTAGTAGTCATTTGACCTTCCTTAAGCCACAACTATTGTCAGAATCGAAAAAAATATTGATTTTTATAATTTTTTTTTATCACTTTAGAAGATGGTCTGTTCATAATATTGAAACCATGTAAAATTGATCCTTAACTTTTTTTTAAGTTATTGAACTTAGTTGTTGTTTACAAATCTCAATTTTGAAACTGCTTACATCATTGCATCATTGATTTTTTTTTTTTTTTTTTTTTTTTTAGCACATATTGGGGGATAATAATTATTTATCTTAAGTGAAGATTAAATGGATATATACTTTTGTTTTTTGTAAATTTTTTGCTTTTTAATTAAAAATGTATATATCTGTTTCTTTATTTAAAAGAAATCTTTTCATAAAAAAAGAAATTTGTTTTTGTATTCAGAACAGCTAAGTCCAGATAACTCTAAAAAGTCAGGTATTGATTTATTTATTTATTTTTAATGTTGTATCGGTATAATGCACAGTCCCCTCCCCTTCTAAAATGATGATGAAATAAAAAAAAATATTTTCCGATTTTGACAAATGTCATTTCTTGAAGAAAGTCTAATGAATGCTAATCTATAAAAATTATAAATAATTTTTCCCTATTTTTACAAGTATACTTAAGTAGTGTTTGAAAAAAGAAATCTTATATCTAATAAGACTGTGCAAAATCCCTTAATCTTTTTTTTGTTTATTGGGTCAGATTTTAGGGAAGTGGGCTGGATTGAAGAATTTTCTGCACCCTCTCTCATATAAACCTTTTACACTTTTAATATTGCCTTTGTAATTCTGTTTATAGGCTGAAATAGGTGTGGAGTTTATTGGTCCTCACAGCGGCTCCATTCAGGCCATGGGAGATAAAATAGAAAGCAAACGTATTGCTGATAAAGCTAAAGTGAATCTCATTCCAGGTTTTGATGGAGAAGTCCGTGATGCAGACCACTGTGTTGAGCTGGCAAACCAAATTGGTAAGCAGTGTGATTTGTTGGTTTTAAATATAATCCTTTTATTTTTTTTATCTATCTATCTATCTATCTATCTATCTATATATATATCTATCTATCTATATATATATATATATATATATATATATATATATATATATATATATATTATATGGTCATTAGGACTCTGCCTAATATAGCTGATATATATATACAACCACTCTCATCTTGTGTGTATAATACTGTTTTGTATCTTACTAGATATATGATGCTATCTGGTAACATTTTGATTTTCCTGGAACTAAAACTTAATATGTAACAAAACCACTAATGTATACTAATATTACATTAAAACCTATTATAAATAGAAACCACTTGGGACCAGGAAATTTATTTTTGTGTACAATCATATTGGGAAAATATTTATTATCACTTGGCTCTTGCACAGTCATTAGTTTCAATGCTTTCATCACTGTCTATAAATTACCTTGTCAGAGAGAATGACTTGCAACAAACAAATATATCTTCTGTAATATGGTCAAGTTGTTAAAACTTTAACATTAGTAAAGTCAGTTATGAATTAAAACCTGTTTTAAAAATGTCAATTTAAAAAAAAAGTATCCATGATATAGGCAAATATATTAAAACAAATTGGGAGGAATAGCAAGGGTAAGAAAAAAGAAATTACTCGCTATAAAGTGAATTGGAAAAAATATATTTTTTTTCTTTTGTTATTTATTTCAATTCACCATTTTACATTGAGTAATATATTTTCTTATACTTACTCCTCCCCACCCTTTATTTTAATATATTTGTATATATTATGTGAATATATACCTTTTAAAATATGTTTTTAAAGCCATAATAAAATTTTTTACCTTTTCCTACAGTTTAAAACATATTAATGAAAAAAATATAAGCAATTATAAAATAACTACAAATACACTTTTATGAAATATATTAATCTATTATTTAGCAAAAATTTTAGAAATTTTGTAAAATTATAAACTCTGTAGCAATTCTTTTAATAGATTATAAACTATTATTTAAAACATTCGTTAAAAAAAAAAACGGCTTAAAAATAACAGTTGTCGGGTTTTGTTTTGCAAAGAAACCTTTTTCAGATCTTGTTTATCTGGAATCTTGTTTCTCCTCTTTTGTTACAGGTTATCCTGTGATGATCAAAGCCTCAGCAGGTGGAGGAGGAAAAGGAATGAGAATTGCAAACAATGACAAAGAAACAAGGTTTATGTTCATTTCTTTCTTTCGTTGTGAAATATGTCTGTTTATAAAAAGAACTGATCCTCCGCCTCTATTTGGGCAGATGATAATTTTTGTATAGGTTTAGAAAAAATACATTTGTCAGTGCCTATATCATTGTAAAGATAATCCAGTCCATTCTACATTGAGGATAAAGGTAAGATTAGCCATTTTACATACAGGAATTGTTCAATATTCATTAACTGAACTGTTAGTGTCATTGATAGTAACTCGGGATGAGTAATTGGTGAGCCAAATTTGAATTCCAATAGGATTTGTTACATTCACTTACTTGCAAATACCCATGGGAAAGGTATGAATCCATCTCTATAGGGTATATAGTAAAATTTGTTGGGGCACCCTGAGGTGGTGTAATGGTTTGCAAGCTTGTTCTCACTAGAATAATTAGGAATGAGTAGTGAGTTCAATCCTCACTGGGTGCCCCATACTTTCAGTCTTGTGCCACATCTAAGCAATGTTTGGAAAATCACTATAGTAAAAATTTTCTCTAGAAAAATCATTATCACAAAAAAATTGCTAATGCAATATTGCAAAAAAAAAAAAAAAATTATTCAGTATCCCTTTGTATAATATACACACACCATGTTTTCAGCCTGATACAAATTACAAAAATTGAACAAATGAATGATCAAATGTTCAGGATTTGTGGAAATACCTTAGTTGAGCTGAGAACTTTTCAATATCCCTTTGTACAATGTACACACACACACACACACACAATCCAGTCCAATCATGATGGGTTTATTTGTATATGGGTTTGCACTTAAACCCCTATAATCAGTGTAGTATCTATGTTCTATATGAAACCTTATACACAAAAAAAGCATAGTGTTACAATATGTGTGTGTTACAATATGTGTGTGTTACAATTTTTGTTTCATGAGGACTAATAGTTTGTAGAAACTGTCTGTAGGGATTATCCCACTACAGTTTCTGTTTAATCTGTTAATCCTTATAAAAGAAAAGCTGTAAAAACAGTTATAAAATTTTCCTTGTTTGTCACATTCAATGAAACATAAAAGAAAGATTGCTGCCTAGATAATTTTTTTTTTTTTTTAAGCATTTCACCCCAAGCAAGGTGGGAAGCCACTAGTGCGCAAGGGGTTACAGAAAATTTGGAGCAAGATCAGATAGGAGTGATAGAAGAAAGGATGAGGAGAAGGGTAGTGGATAGATCAAGGCAACTGGAGACGTCGATTGACATTACATTTGAATAGCTGGAGATTATAGCTCTCAGGGAAACTGAAATAGGGAAGGGAGTTCCATCGATAGACTCATAACGATTGAAAACAATGTTTTTGTTTGAGTTTGGGTTTGACCAATTCTTAAAAAAAAAAAAAATAATTAAGACATGCATGTCCATCAACCTTAAACAATAATCTTTGTCAATTTTATTTTTCAGTCTTTATGATGGTCGATACTTGATCTATCTCTTACTGTTACATCCCCGGGCAATGCCGGGCTCTACTGCTAGTAAATTATATATCAGTAGTTGTAATTGAAGGAAAAGTTACTATTTTGGAATGTTTTCACACTGGGGTAGTTTGGGATACCTATTACAATCTTAATTTCTTCAAGTTTAAGGCCAACTGTTATCTATCCCAAATATACTCATAATATGCACCACTTACTCCCTCCTTGTACACTCTTAAAACAAACTTATTTAATAACCCTCTATCTTGAGTGGCTGTAAGGCTTTGTATTAGGTGAACATTAAAGAAAATATATTTTTCTCTGTTCATAATACATTTTTTATTGAAAACTTACCAGGAATAAATAGAATCTATTTTGTTTTTCTATTAGGCTACTAGTTACAGTTATTAACAAACACTATGGCTTGAATCTCACTATGGTAAATTTGTCGAGGTGGTTACCTCCTGTTAATATTGGCACCATTGGGTTGTCTTTTGAAAGCCATACCCTGTATTGAGAAGAGCTTGTTCATTATACATGACCAGACTCTCTTCTTGTCGAAGCCTCATATTTGGAATATTGACCCCAAAGAAAGTTTTTAATATAATTTTAATCATTGGTGAAGTGAGTGTCTAACCCTTTCCTGTTATATGGATTTATCTTGAACAATAACAATTATTGTTTATAACCATTCAGTGTAAGACTGTAATTTCTCTTAGTAATGATGCTGAAATATGAAAAATATTTGTGTGCTTTGAAAAAGCAAATTCATGGGACAATTTTCTTTTTTTTCTTCACAAAAATATATTTTCTGCTTTTCAGGATACATTTTTTATCGGAAACTTAGCAGGAACAAATAGGATCAATTTCGTTTTTCTATTAGGCTACTAGTTTCTGTGTCTTTAAATGGTTATTATTAACACAAACCCTGTCCATATCTATTTAATGATAGATTTTTTTTTGGCTTTATGGCATATTGACCCTTTTATAGGTCATTTAATGATGGAAAATGTTAAAAGTTTAGTATAAAATGAATGACTAGATAAAAATATTCGGTTTTGTAAGATTAAAAATATTCCCGGTAATTAGATTATTGTATAAACTCTATACTGTATATGTTGGCATGCAAGGCAACCTTTTGACCTTAAAAAATCACCCCCCCCCAAAAAAAAATAGTGGGCTGTCTTATACTCCTGGTATAAAATGTGGACCTTTAAATCTTGTGGTTTATGGTAAGTTGTTAGAATGGGAGGTGTGTGTCTCAACAAGCTTAAAGATCACATTTCAGAACAGTGGAATGAGTGGATGGTTAGTGGCGGGGGGGTTGGGGAAGTCATTCAGGTTACCATAATAGTCTACCTGAAAACAGCGTACCCACTCAAGAGATATTGTAGATTATGGTAGTTAATTGACTGTATCTCTCCAACATTTTTTTCATTAGAATTTGAATGAAAAAAAAAAACTATATGCTTATTAAACTTATTTAATAATACAAAATAATAATAATAATATATAAGTATATATACAATACATTTTAAAATACAATTTGGGGAGGTGGGTTGTCTTATATAGCTCGAAACCTTTATATTAACTGGAAAATTTGGGGTTACCTTGTATGCCAGCATATATGGTATTTTGAATCTTTGAAGATAAGAATTTATATGAATTGAACATTTCATATGATATGTAAATAATGATAATTGTAAAAATAGTTATGTTAAACTGATATTTCTTTTCATTTGTATCACTTTAGTATAAGTTATGTAAGATTATTTTTTTAGGATGAATATATATTACAAAACAGTTTTGCAAAACTTTGAAATAACTTTTACCAGCTCACCATCAGAGTCCTAAAAATAGTTTTACTGTCACCATGATCAACTGTAATCTGTGTTGTGATCTGTTATCTAAAAATTGATTTTAAGCAACTAGTTAAATGTTTTGTACATTTGTAGATGTATTTGTTTATTCTGTTTTAATATCCCAGAGATGCCTTCCGCCTGTCAACCCAAGAAGCTGCTGCGAGTTTTGGTGATGACCGAATGCTAATTGAGAAATTTATCAGTAGTCCTCGCCATATTGAAGTTCAGGTAATTTCTTCATTGAACAATGATGTCCATATTCATATTCTTTCATATATAAAATTGGCTATATTTATGGGGAAAGTGTTCAGAAGAAATTATTTATAGATATAATGTGGACATAGATATCAATACAACAATGTCAGTTTCATCTCTTAATTATCAGGCTTAAGGACTGAAAGTACAAGTCATTATGTAATATTGATTTAGAAGTGCATGTCATACATATATATATATATATATATATATTGTAACCCGGATATAAGAGAGATTTTCTCTGGTCCCAAAGTGTTCCCATACTTACCTAAACAAAATAGACCAAACCCGGATATAAGAGACTTCTTCTCCGGTCCCGACAACTCTATTATATCCGGGTTACACTGTATAAAAATTACAGTTATTTTTATTTATTTTAATTATGCTATAATTATCAAGGATAGTGCTCAATGTTGGAGATAGTGTCTGTAGATATAGACAGTGTGGACATAGGAATCAATACAATAATGACTGTCAGTTTCATGCCTTAAACATTCTTCAGATATCATGCAATGTGCAAGTCACACACACACACACACACAATGACTGAAACAAAATATTCAAAGTATACGAGAGGGAATTTGTGAAAATCAATGTGGTAGTTAAATGGCCATATTATTAGTGATTATTATTTATGTTAAGAAATGGTGATTTCTATTTTAATTTCTGAGGTGTATAATTATTATATACTGATTTATTTGGAAATATATTCATTATGGTGGCTTATGGCTCTGTTCGTTGTATAGATTAAATATTATATGGTAAAAATCTCAGATCAAAATACAGCTAATGTTTTTATTCTGTCTCAACCAGAATCCCTTTTATTTCAAAACATGATTTCTGAGACAAAAGTTGCACTTGTCCATATAGAAAGACAATGACAATGTTAGAATTTTTAGCATCATCTTCCAGTTTGATGAAAAGTGTATGTTACCAATTCTGGTATAGATGCAGAATATTCTGGTAATTCTTCTGACTTGTATTAATATTCATCATTTTTGAACGGATGAATGGTTGGAGTAATGGAAGACTTAAAACTGATTGAACTCCATAATGTCAATAGAGAGCTCTACTAATATTTTTTGTTGATAACTACTGGGTCACATACTACTTTTATATGCCATATTTGTACAGCATTTTTCCCTTCTAAAAATAAAGGCATATCAAATGGAGAAAATGCACTTCATTTTCTTCCATTTTTCACATGTAGAAAATATTTAACATTCTGTTATATAGCGTACCTATGCACACTAATGAGTAATGTCTCGATCCTCATAAATACATTGGACACTATTGTAAGTGTGGGTAATATGCTGTCTAAGTAGTCCACCACTAGCAGTGGTTTACCTACTTCACACTGCTGGCGAGTATTGTATTTTGTTGATATAAAGATTACCATTTCATTTCCAACCTCTGTTTTGGTTATTCCTTATTCAGTAACCTTTTCTAGGTTACAACACCTTCACAATCCACACATGAATTGTATAGAAAGATGTGTTGGAATGTCACTTTTCAGAATATGTATATCATAAATTTCAGTGACATATAAAATGAAATCACATATACAAACACCACCTATTGAAAAATGCTCCTAACTTTTGTTCTAACCAATACTTTCTGGTGTTCTATAAGCATCTGCCGTATTTGGTAACTGTCTGAGAAATGTAAGCAGGACCTTTTTTTGCAATCGATGAGAATTGTTTCCATTTCGCTATGCCAAGTTCTTTGGATTTAGAATGAGAAATGTCTACTCTATGAAAAGTGTTTGAAATTCCTAGGTTACTGGATATGACAGTAGAAAAAGGTTGGAAGGTCTGATGGTTGAAATGTGACTCTACAACCAAGATGTAGATATTAGTCTGACTAGATCAGCGTATAATAAAGAAATTATTTAAAACACATTATCTCTTAATAATACAAACTTTCATTTTTTAATCATTTCACTCCAAGCAAGACAATGAAGCCACTAAGATGCAAGGGGGTTACTGAGTGTGAAAGAATATTAGAAAAACATTATTAAGGAGAGAGAATAATAAAACAGGAATTAAGAAGACGGAAGATTACAATTGGCATTGCACTTAATCTTTTAAAGATCAAAGTTGACTGGAAAGCAAGATGATGAAAGAGTTCTTAAAGCAAGAAGTGTGAGAGAAGAAATTGTTAGCATAAAACTTATGCTTACATCTAGCCATTAAATCTAGCTGCCAATCTACTCAGTCAGTTAAGCGCCATATGTGATACATGTTTGGACGATCATGTCTTTTTCAATTCATGACTGACTAGGGAGAAGATTTTCCCGCAAGTAGGTTGTCATTTCTTTCTTTGCTAGACTAGTTGCCAACCAAAGCTATAGGACTCAGGGTTGGTGGAAGAGATAGATTCATACCTTTCCCAAGGGTATTTTCATGTAAGTGAATGTAATGAACTCAATTGGAATTCTGATTTCTCATTCAGGCCATTATCCTTTACACCACAACACACATCCAATCCAGTACTGCACTTAAATTCATGTAGTTGAGGGACCAAAGATGAGATATCTTATTGGTATCATGTCAGGATAGACTTCAATATAAGTAATGTGTGAGCTATGGAAGAAAGGTTTATTCCCAGGTTTTATTTCCCCAATTATGGGCATTATTATATCCATGATATGATAACACTTTAATACATGAATGGAATGGAATAGTTGAAAGAAAAGGAATGATAAACTTGCTTTGTTTTCAGAGATAATTTTATACTGCTAAGTCATACAAAAAATTATATACACATATATTTACATTTGCCCCACATGGAGAAACTATAGCACGTGGATGCAACAAACAGTATGAAAAGGAGACAGAAAACGTTTTACTTGTAATAATTTCCAACAGAAATTTGAACTTCTGGAGTATCCTCCTGTGTTTCTGGAGAAGATATATTTAGGATTTCCAGTGCATATTCAAGCAGGCTAGATTTATTTTCTATGTTGCTAGTGAGGACATATTCCTCTCAAACAGGAAATGACAAGTCTTGGGTTTTTCCCAACATGGGGATTGTGAGCCAGGCGTAGTTTCTATATCTGGTGAAAATATATTTCCAACATAAAATGGCACCATGGACTTGTAAGCTGTATTGCATGATGACTGTACTGTGTGAAAGTTAGCTGCCCGCAGTACAGCCCTGGGGAAGTAAGACCTTACCTGTGCTAAAGCAACTGCTTAATTTGACTCCTGAAAGCTAACTGATGGACTGTAACTTTTGTCACACTATGAAGGGACATCACTAAGTGGCCATGATATGACCCATGTGACTTCATCTCAGTCAAATGGAGATAATTGTCTATTTGTAAGCTGGACACTATTACTGCACATGTACAAATCCAGGTTAATTTGAGAGCAAAGTGTGACCTCCAATGTGTTAGGGTTGGTTTAAAACTTAGATGTATCTTGATGTGTGCTGAAATAGCCAACTAGAGACAATTATGGTATGAGTGCTGAAAGGATATTTAACCAGGTAGACATAACTATCACTTTATTTTGAGGCTGAACATCTACTCATAATGTAATTAATGACTGAAGTTAATTTCATAAGTCATTGATAACATTTTCTGGATAAAACATTAAACTTATGCAACATTTAGACTAGTTCTGTAGCAAAAGAAATAAAATGGAATGCTGTATTTTGTATTTTTTTTCTTTTAACAGGTATTATGTGATAAATATGGAAATGCTATTTACCTGAACGAACGTGAATGTTCTATTCAAAGAAGAAATCAAAAAGTAATAGAAGAAGCACCAAGGTAAAAAAAAATTTTTTTAAAGTTTTGGTTGGGATTTTGACAGTCAAAGGACATATTGTTGCAAGCATGGGGGAGCATAGCAGCCAATAACCTAATGAGTTTATGTAATTGTATAGAAGATGATGACAGGGGTGGGATGGTAAAGAAACAAATGTTGCTCAGATCTACAAAGGATAGGAAACCTTGGAGATCCATGATCACCCATGTTCTGAAAAATAAAAAGTGTATTTTTTTTTTTTTTTTTTGTGTGTGATTAATCATTATAAGATATATCTATCCCATAAGAGATTGTATATTAAAGTGTGTATTTTAGAAAAATTCAAATTAAAAAAAAAAAAAAAAACGTGTAAAAATTCAATTTGACCATTATACATAAACACACAAAAACAAAATCCTTGAAAATGAATGTTCCAACATTTGAAAGTACTCAGTAAAAAAAAAAAACAAAAAATAAAATGTCTTTTACTGGTTATATAAAACAACTAATTTATAAATTGAAAAAAAGACAGAACTTGTAGATATTAATCAGCAAAACATGTTTGAAAGAATTCTTGCTGCCTAAATAAACTTGATATGTATTTGTTTCTCGCCATTTGGTGCAACTCTGAGTTTCATGCTTGTGGCAGTTGTCGAGCACAAATTGAAGACATAGTAAAAACTTTGTAAAAATTCAATATTTATAATCTATTAATGAGGGAAAAGTAAATTTGTAAAAAAAAATGAATTTAATACAAAAAACAAATGGATTACAACAAAAATTAAGAAAATATATACTTATATGTACTCCCCCCCCGACATATATATATATATATATATATATATATATATATAGGACCATCTAATCAAATACAAGTATCCACTAAAAATAATGTAATAAAATGTATCAGATTAAGGAATAATAAATCTCAGCCTTTCTTTAGAAATTGCTTTGTTTAGGTTAGGATATGAAACTGAGTAGATATGTTTATTCTGAGTCAGAAAAATCTGTTTAAAGGCACTATTCAAAATGTGTTTGTGTGTATGTATATATATATATATATATATATATATTATATTATATTATATAAATGGTAGTACTCACTTGGAAAAACTTTGGATAGCTCAACTTGCAGTAGAACAAATCGGTACCCGAGGAAAAATAGGAAATAAAAAAAGAAAGAACCAAGAATATTAAAACGAGGCAAAAACAATTGTCAAGTGTGTAAGCACCAAGTCCATGTATTTTAACCAAGTTCTTTTTTATACATGATATCCATGATCTGGGATGGGTGCAGAAACTGAACTTGCTGAGCAGTGTTGCATTCACTTTTCTACCAATAATGCCTTTTGGGAAAGATATTAACCTCTCACTTCTCCCTCACTATCAGTAAAATAGCAAGTCAGACTGGGCTCTCTCGCTTTGGGTGGCAGCCTGTCTAGAAGAACAGCTCTGAATTTCAAACAATGGAAGGCGATTGAAAATCAATCCATTATCTTTGGCAAGAAATTATGGCAATTAACAAATAAAGAAAAAGATTTTATGAAGAGCTATGACTGCCCATATCCTGAAAGGACTTGACATTTTGAAAAGATATCCATACTGACAGAAATTAAACACTAAAAGACCTCCCACTCTCAAACATGTCATTTTTTGCAGAAGATACATATCCCGGAGACTTCTCAGTCAGTATTTTGTAACTATTTTTTGGTGTTATATGTATTGTCCTAGATATAACAGTAAATTACATCTGGCAGCAATTCCTCAGATCTGGAGGTTTTGATGAGCATTGAACCACCTCTTAATTACTGCTGTTTTGAGGTTAAATAGTGAACACCCAAAACAGAGGTCAGAATGTGAAAATATAAAAATACACTAGAAAAAAATTACCAGCAATACATTTTTTTTTTTTTCCTGTATAAGGAGTTGATATGCCATTAAACAAAGGGGAAAGAGCTATCAAGAACACTGCACTATTTGATACTATTAAGTGACACTAGTTTTCAATTTGACTAATGAGATGATTCAGCCTTTGTGTAGTTGATTAAGTTATTGTCTATAAGAGGCTATTGTCATTTTTTTTTGTGCATTTATGACTAATATATTTTTTATTTGTAGTACGTTTTTAGATGAAGACATGCGGAAAGCAATGGGTGAACAGGCTGTGAGATTAGCCAAGGCTGTCGATTATACCTCTGCTGGTAGGTTTTGTATTTCATATTTCAAAATGAGTATTTACTTATTTTTTTGTCACATCTTTTGAAATTGATTTCCTCTCTTATTTATCAAATTTCATAGAAATATGTACCATACTTTATATATTACTTAGAAGATTGGAAAAAGGAGAGCAAAAAAGTCCAGCATTTATTGTATTCATAAGACAGTGTTTATTAAGTAACTTAACCTGTAAACTCCCTATGGGACATAGAGCTACAACCTCACCAGGGGTGATGCTGTGGTTTCAGTTACAAGTAGTTTTTTTTTTTCTTCTTGTGAAATTGCTGGCCACATACCCAACCAGTTTTGATTTCAGAGTTTTCCTTTTAGTCTGTTTTGTCAAACAAAGCTATTTAACCCATAGTTGGGAGAGCTGGATTTATAATTTTCCCCAAGGGTAATTGTGTGAAAGTGAATGCAAGGGCCTCAGCCAGAATTTGAACAATTCTTTGCAATGCCACGTTATACACCGATAACCTCTCCACACACATTTATGTGTCTATTATATCATTTACATTATTCTATTTGCTATATCCCTTCAGGACATAGGTGATCATGACTCTCTACAATCTTCTATCTTTTGTGGCCCATAGCAGCTTTTCTCCCTTTGCTAAGGTTCCAGTCCCCATTCCAACATCACTTCACTTAAACTGCCTTCACTTATCTCTTTTGCTCTCAATATGTCCAGAGAGAGTTAAGTTTTCCAAGTCTTCCTTCCTCATTATGTGTTTATATGATCACTAATGGTTGGATGGGCAGTCAGCCATGCTCCGAGTATCCTCTATGGTTAGTGTGGGTGTGTGAAGTCTCTCTCTGCTCTCTCTCTCCCCTGTCTGGCTTCTCTTATAGCTTATATAAGGGAAATGCATGGATGTAGTTGTAGACATCTGTGGCAAGCAAGAGTTGTCAATAATGGCCAACACTCTGGTATATTTTTGTTTGTTTTAAAATTTGTTTTGAGTAGAATGTGGCATGTGTGTGACTTACCTAAATGGAAATTGGTGCCTAGTTAGAGATATGTTTTCTAATAATTGTATAAATTTGGTTTTAATTTGTTATCTTTGTGTAAATTGTGTTTTCATTGTGAACACATTTGTTTCACTTCCAGATTACAAAGTTGTAACATGAAATTTCCATGAGTTTTCATAATGCTTACTTAAGAGTAATTATCATTAATTAGTGATGACTTGCATATTTATTTAAATCACTATATTTCAGTTTAACAATAAATTGATAAACTCTTATGTTATGAATAAACTATTGACTTAAGATATAGCTGTTAGATTTATTAGTATGAACCTGTATTATTCTTGTATAATAAACACAAAGTTGTTAGATCTATATGAAAATAAATTCATTTAATCACTTATCTTTTTCTATTATTTATATTTACAATTGTTGTCAAACAAATTTTGTATATTTATCTCCAATTAATGATCTATTTATGGCTAAAATATGGCCTTTCTTTAGCTATTTTAATGGAGGTAGTAATAAAAGTTGTTTCAGTTAGTTTGTATGCTTTATTATGTGACACTATCAAATCTGGCTGTGATTGGGGTGCCCATATAGAAAAGGATGGTAAATGATTTTCTCAGTCTTAAGTGCCCGGTAGTTTTTTTTTTATGACTAGCAGTAAAATCTGCAAAGTAGGATCTTAAAAAAAAAATGCCACCCACTTAACCAAAATAAATATAATAGATATTATATACTTATTTTTTGAAATTTTTTCTTTATAAATAATTGATAAATAAATGAAAACTTATGGGAAGAAGTGGCACTTGACTGAAAATTAGAAAATTTGACCCACAAGCTTATATAAATAGAATTGAGTTATTCTTTAACAACCTGTTGTGTATTACAAGCCACCTGTTAAATTTGCCCCTCATGAAGAAGTGAATGGTAGAGTGTTGGTGGGAGAGAGAGAGACAGAGTTCTTGCAGGTTGAAAGGAAAAGCTGATTCATTAGTCTGTCATGACAGAACTAGCTGAAGTTGTCACAAATGAGAACCCCCCGCCCCGGACCTTGCAGGTGAGTCCCAGAATAAACAACCAAATATAGTTAAAACAAGGTTTGTGTTTCCATTTTTTACTGCAGCATTGATTTTACCTTTCATTTCCCTTATTAATGCATGGAGGACCTTTATCAATTCTTGTGCACCCTAACACTAGTGTGGGAATAGAGATGCAGTGTGGGTTTATTTGTCTGGTACATAGAAAGCTGAGGGAAGGACTCATCTATTGCTTACTATTATATTATTTGGTTTTAGCCCTTAAAGTGATCTAATTTGTATTATATACTTTCTGATGTGTAATAAATTTCAGATAGAGTATATCTTTAAAAAAGGACAATATGAAAAAAGACAAAAGGAAAACTTATCTTTGTTTTTGTGGGAATGTGTGGACATTAATAATTGTTTGTATTTTCTAGCTATAAGTGTATGTTTTTGTTTTCCATGCCAGCAATGAGCAAAAGTTTCAGATAGAGTATATTTTACACATTGTCAACATGTAGATCAAAAATACACATTGAGCAAGAAAACACAATTATTAATATCTGCACATTCCCACAGAAAGGCCAAAATAAGTTTTAATTTTGTCTTTTTTTTCATAATTTCTGATAATAAAAGGAACATTTGGTTAAAATCCAAATCCCTATTCAAATAAAGAAACTGGATATATGTATAACTGAAATGTTTAGCTACTGTAAAAGTTATATACACACACACAATTTATTTTTCTTCTTTGTTTTAAGTGTTTTTTATTTAGTAGTATTGTCCAAGATTCTAAAATGAAGTATTGTCATTATTCCATCAATTATTTGAACAAGCATCCACATCTTCCTGGTTTTAATCTTGCTATTTAAGTTAGAACATTTAATAACCTTTTTCTACAATTGCAACAAAAATGAAGATATTGTCTCAAGTACTTCATGAAATATATGATTTTTTTAATTTAATTATTTAATCATGATGCCATTTCACTTTGTAAATGATAGCATGATTTTCTTTTTAGCTCCTATCTGTTGATAATGTTGTTTCCCAAACACATATTTAAAACTGAAAACCATTCTTTTGCAGGCACTGTTGAGTTTTTAGTGGATTCTGAAAAGAATTTTTACTTCTTGGAGATGAATACCCGATTACAAGTGGAACACCCAATCACAGAATGCATTACTGGTATTGACATTGTTCATCAGATGATCAGAGTTGCAAAAGGTATCATGATCAAAAACATTTGTCATAAAAATGTGCTGATGGAACAATGACTGAGTAATATTTCAATTTGTATAAGTAAAAGCTACATCTATAGTTTCACGAGTTTGGTATTTGGGCATTTGGGCACTTTTGGTATTTGGGCACTTTTGGTATTCGGGCACTTTTGGTATTTGGGCATTCATTTTTAGTATGTTTTGACTTAAAGAGATGGTTGACCAGTTTAATTCCTATTATTAAACAAACATGCAGACAAGTGTGTGCATATGTTCAGTCAGATCTTATTTTTTGTTGTTGTTTTTCTCCCCACACTCCCTGTCTTGTAGAGAGGATTATCATATTGGACTGTTCAACATGTATTGTTGAATTAATGATTATAGCAATTTCTTTTCTATTTTTATTATTATCACTAATGTACTGATGCCGTCAAAAATGATGGCAATTGTTAGAAAGTTTTAATAGTGATTTACAATGAAACCAGTCTTGAAACAATGTATTCAATAAAGGGGAGATAAAGAAATCACAACTAAATTAGAGGCCAATGAATATAGTTTAATTAATCTCTTTTCTTTATATTTTTTAGGTATTTAATGATATCTATGATTATTCATTTATTAATAATCCTGGTATTATATAAATCGCTTTTTGCTCAATATCTTTTCATGTTAAATGATTTATATATTTAATATAACTGTGAAATGAAGATCACTCTCAGAAGAAATAGATTGGCAACAGAACAAAGAAAATGGTAATGACAAACCCTATTTCAAGACCAAGATTAAGTAAGTCGATCGTTTAATAGATAAAGGTATCCGAGTAACTCCAGGATTCATATAGGTCCTGGAAACCTTTAAAAGCCCCGGAAAATTGACAGGGCCTTTTTCAGGGCTTGAGATATCCTGGAAAAAACAGCAATACCCCAAAAGCTCCTTGAAAAGTCCTGGAATTTTCTATCTTGAGCTGCCTACACTTCCTTTTTCTCAAATCATGAAAGTCAAAATGCAAAATACCAGAAATTGTCTTCTAAGAAAAATGTTTTTTTTTGGTTGTCAGTAATATTTGGCAATTATTGTCAACAGTGGTTTATTTCCTTGATTAGAACGAGGTCATGATCTCATAGTTACTTTTATATTTTATCATCTATGTGATGAGAAAAAAAGGGAGAAAGAATGTGAAGGTATGTCTTTTAGTTGCTCTTCTCACTCAACAAGAAAAGAGGAAAACCAAAGATGAAAGGTGTCAGTGACAAATAAACATCTCTGTCAAAGATAAATTAATTCACACTCTTTGAATTTGTAGTTGAAAGGAAAATAATAAATTATTTTACAGTAATAAAATACATTTTAGTAGAATCTCTAAAAATTTATCGGTGTTTTTCAAAATTTGAATAATTGAAGAAATTTTATTCATATATCAATTTAAAAAATAAACAGTCCTTTTGTTCTCTAGTCAGTGGTGGGTGAGTTCATGCTGAAAAATCCGATATTCTTGTATCAATGTGTATCTGTGTGTAAACTACATTTGTCTAAATTGTTGTCAAAAGTAACAAATTTGAGAGTCCAATTTGACTCGAAGAAACTTAACTTATTTAGCTTTTATTGCTTGGCTTTATATTAAAAGTTAAATCTGCAACCCTGTCCTTTTACTTTTGTTTTTGCCATAGATGACTAAGAAAAATGAAAATGTACAAGCATGTGAATGACTCCTAGACATCAAATTTGTTAACTTAATTAAAAAAACGGAAAAATGCCCCCCCCGGATCAAGTCCTTTTCTGTGGTGCTGTTAAACATGAATCATTTTTTTAATTTCTGGTGAAACTGCAGATTTTTGTGTCTATTTAGATAAAATAGAGTGATAAACCATTGCTTCCTTTCCTTGCAGATGATCTTTTTACCATGATCATGAAACTGTTAAGATTTGTAAAGGAAGAGCACACTAAAAAGATAATTACATTTTCCAAACTGAAGGAATTTGTAATAATTTTGTCAAACCTAAACATGCATAAAAATGTTGCAAAGATCGAGTGTGGATTTCTGGCAGATAGGGTTTTGCAAAATTTATCCAAAAAAGGAAATGTGTCAACAAAAGATCTGTTTGCATGCAGAATTGCTCATCACCATGATTGTGAAACTTCTGGTAAAGTCTCCCATTAAATACCCTTTTGTAAGGTCACTTGCTTGGCTGAACCCTGGATCCATTTGTGGAAAAAAAATCTGCCACAGAAGACAGTCTAAAAAGTTGTCTTTCCCACATGATGGATAGAAAACTAGTCTGTAAGTCAGATTGTGATGAAATAATCAGTCAGTACAAAGAGTTTGAGGAGAAGGTTGCTGGAAATATTGTTTTCAAGAATTTCAGCAAGTATGAAAACCATCTGGACACTTTGTTCTACTCTTGGTCAAGCAACAAAGAATATTTTTGGTCTAATCTGACTCTTGTAAAGATAAAGCATTATAAGAGTCGGGTACTTTCTGGAGTGATACAAGGAACCAACCACTTTTCTAGCATCTATCCTGTTGCTTTCCCTCCCAATGATGATGATGATGAGAGTGATTCTGATGACATAGGTATTCATAGTTGAGATAAGAATGATTTTGAACAAAAAAATCAACATCCTCTACAAAGAGTTCTAAGAAATAGAACTCAAGATAAATCTTTCTAAAACTGAATTGATGATCTAGAAATAGAATAAAAGCAGTGAATGCACCTACCATGAATCCACCATGAAAATTAAGGATGTGAAATTAGTAAATACTAAATACTTCGGTGTATAGATCGGTTATAATAAATTAAATATAGGGGACAAGGGAAAAAATATTTTAAGTCAAGTGATAGCGATTGCTGTATGAGTCGTACGATTTTTGAATCAAGCATGGGCAACGCTGGGCCATGCTGCTAGTCCCTTATAAATGATGCATAAAAAAAAACCCAAAATATATTTATTTACCTTCAAAACTACATTTAAACAACCCTGAAACTTTGCCACTTTCAAAAGAAAACATTAGATAAAAGTAGAGACAGATTTGTTGATTTTTTTTTTTATATATTATCAGTGGAACTTCTGCTGCTGCATCACTAATGACAAATTTTATATTGAGTTTATATTTAATAACCTTGAGAGATATGCATGCATTACTAGTTTCATCTGTTTAGCTACTCCTGTTATGAGACTTAACAAAGTTCATCACTGAGAACAGAGATTCACAAGAATATGTAGATGAAAACATGGATAGTAATGCTGTTGCAGAGTTTTATAAACAGACAACATTTTCTGGAATGATATTCCGTCCTTAATATTTCATTCTCCACATTTCTATCTGATACTCCCATCTCTAATCGCTCCTTTTCAATATTTTCCGACTAAACTCTAAGGTCAACAAATTTCTGGTTTCAAATTGAGCTAATCTGAAATTCAATCAACTGCATTTCAAAATCATCCATGGCCATTCATGAAAACATTTGTTTTGTACATCCAGTTTGATACTGTCTGGAAACAAAAATTTTGCTATCTCTTCCAGTTCTCTGAATTTATCAAATCTTGTAAAGAACTATTCAACAATTGATTCCATGATGTTTATAAACAGCATTTGAAGACATTGGTGGTCTGTTCTGCCACCTTTTGAGAGGTCATTGATCTATCTTTTTAGGTTTGGGAAGTATCTCTTTTCTACATTCCTCTTAAAAACTTAGTTTCATTTGAAAAAGCCTTTATGTAACCAAACATAACATCAACTGTCTTAGAAAGGCCTGTAATTTAATATTCAAGTCATTTAAATGTTCACAAAAATCTGCAAAAACTCCAGTTTACATACAAACCCACATTATATCAGCAAAGTTTTGGTAAAACACTTGTTGGTCATTCCAAAAGAGCTTGATCTCATCTAAGCATTTAGCAAATCATTTCCAGCCTTTGACTAAGTGTTACATGAACTTACCTATAATAATAATGGACTATTCCTGACATTATAATACTACGCCTCTCAAGAGGTATGAGGATGTTGTAAGACGAGGAGAGATAATTGAGAGCATATTGTAAGGACATTGGAATAGTGATACTTGTCGAGACAACATAGTTCACTCTAACCAAATCTGATAGTCATTACTAATACTTCTACTTCTTTGTGTTATATTTCTGTTGTAATATATCTTTGTATTCCATACCTGTGTTCGTGTTATTCTTTCATTGATTCTAACCTTGGACCATCACCGTGGTACAAGGAACTTAGACCATAACACTAAACCAACAAACTTTTTTGTACATTTTCAGTTCCTTATATAGAGATTCTACTTCATTCAGTAAAACTTGAAATTGTCTTTTATTTAAAGCCTGAGCAGAAATGTAATTAACAACCTTGGTAACCGTTTGCACCACTTCCTAAAGTTTCTTTAGGCCAGCTTTTGCACACAAAGCCTCCTCGTGTATGATGCAATGAAAACCTATCGGTGGATGACCAACATCTTTTGCAAACATTTACAAATTCGGCCTTCTCACCAGTCTTGCTGGGGGCGCCATCTATTGTGGCAGATATTACTTTGAATTTGTCGAGTAGATAATTCATTCAAAACTGCTTTACATATTTTAGCACCTGTAGTACACTGAGGTAGTGTTACAAGGGAAACCATATCTTCACATACTTTATCACCTCTACAAAATTGATGTAATGTCCATATTTTCATCAACACAAATAAAAAAATTAACTTACATGAGGACAAATCTTTTGTTAATCATTCAGCTTTATTTCTTTCCAACTTAAGTATCCTATCCTTAACTGTTTTCCTACTCACAGACAAATGTTTAATGTAATAAACAATCTTTTCCTTTTCTGAAAAATTGTCGAAGAGGAGAGGCACAAATTCTAGTCAAGCTTTCTTAATATACTCTCCATCACTAAGTGGCTTTTCATTTTGGGCAATATCTTTTGAAACCTCAAAGATAGCAGCAACTAAGTTGGAATTGGGCCTACCTGAAATAAAGTCCATAAAAGTATCAGCCTGTATTTTTGTCTTGCTTAGTTCACAAGAAATTGATTCTCTTTGTTCCTCCTCAATTTTATTGCTTAAGTTCTTATGAATACTTTCAAAATGTTTCTTTACAGATTAAGTCCTACAAATGATTGTTTCAGAACAGAAAATGCATAAGGCTTTATTGTCTTTCTTAATCATGCCAAATTTTTCAGTCCAGTATTCTTTAAACTCTCTAATATCCTCTTCATTTGAATAACATCATTTCTTAACTGATGATCATGGCAATCTATAAAGGACAGAAAATAAAAATACATGAGATAATGATATACATGAAAGAGGAAAAAGAATAAAAAAAAGGAATCTAATGAATAAGTTTTGTGTGTCAGAAACAAGTCACTGACATGCCATGTTTGGCATGTTTGCCAACGGTTGCCCTTCCCTGCTCTACAGCAAAGTCAGAGGAGAGATCAGCTCCCAGACTCTGATCATCTTAATTTCTGGAAGTTCTCTCATAAATTGTGCTATCATCTGCATAGATATTTAATCATAATTTGAGAATGTTCCAAGGCAGATCATTAATTTAAAAAAAAAAAAGAAAGAAAAAAAACAGGGTTTAGAATCAAAGAGAGAGCCTTAGGAGACATTTTGCATTGATCTTTTGGGTGTCAGAAGATTGTCCATTAACAATGACCTTCATGGAGCTTCCTGAGAGAAAGGACTCTATTGTGTAAACTTTTACTGAGATGTCTTAGCTGGAGTCAACCTCCATGTCACACCTTGTCAAAAGTCTTTGTGATATCCAAGGCAATTGCTCTAGTGATGAAGCTACTTTTGAGCACTTCACTGATTCTGTGTTTAATGACAATTAAAATATCAGCAGTTGACCTGGATGAGGGAAGCTATATTGTTTTTGTTCAGGAGAGATGATAAACTCAATCAGATTGCTAATGAGATTAAAGAGGCTGATGGGGTAATGTTGCAGTGGTGATGAACATTCACCAGCATTCTTGAAAATGAAATTAGCTCATCAAATATCTGCTTAAGTTTCTACATAAAAATTTGATTACGGTTTGATCAAATTCAGTTTTAAAAGTTGTATGGGAGTTTTATTAATTTATATTATATTATCTTTTTTTTTCTTTTTCTTTTTTTAAGGCCATCCATTAATGCATAAACAATCTGATATCCCCGTGAATGGTTGGAGTTTTGAGTGCAGAGTCTATGCTGAGGTAAGGTTTTAAAAAAAAAAAAAAAAAACTTTTTTTTTTTTGGTTGCCTTCTTGAAACTATTGTTTTTGTGCTTGTTTTGTTTTTTGTTTGTTTTTTGTGTTTTTTGTTTGTTTTTGTGTTTTTTTTGTTTTTTTTGTTTTTTTTGTTTGTTTTTTTTGTGTTTTTTGTTTGTTTTTTTTGTGTTTTTTTTTTTTTTTTTTTACATTTAAAGAAAGAATTTGGTATTTTTTGCAAAAACTAATTAGCTGAAAATGTTTTGGAGAAATATCAGTTAGGTTGAGTTTTTCTAATTTTTATTTTTAATTCTTTAAATTTTTATATATTTTGATGACTGTACCCTGAACCAAGTCCTGATAGTAACATTTAGCTCTTCATGCCTTTGCCTTGTGTTCTTAATATCAATTGAATGGATGGACATTTATATGCTAAAATATATGAACACAATTTCTTCAATTTTTGCTTATTTTTGTCACAGGAATCACTTCTTCCGGCTATACCAACATGATAATTCAGATCATAACAGATGCTTCTTTGTATCCAATCATAATAATTGTAAGTGTGTCCTAAATGAGGTTGTCACTGTTTGCTGATAGACACCATACAACCTCGTACAAGTTTAGTTTTTGTGATTACTGGTGGCTCTGTATGGGTTTGTTAAACAAGAGTAAATCCTCGATCCCTCCTTTCTTCAATCAGTTTGAAGTATTTTCATCTACTGTTGATAAAGCAGAATGTTTGGTCCGTAATTTTCTTATAACTCCACTCTCAACTCATCAGGAGTATCTTTGCCTGATTTTCTGCCAGGAAGTGATATACATATAATTCCATTCTCATTTTCTGCTATCATTTCCAAACTAGATCCCCACAAGGCATGTATATTTGAAAGTATCCCTGCAATTGTCCTAAGGAGATGTGTTCCTGAATTAGCTCCTGGTCTCACCAAATGCTACAACAAATACTTTGCTGCTTTTTGCTTTCCAACTTGTTGGAAATCCTTTTCTGTAATTCCTGTTGTAAGAATTCTAGTGAACCTTGTGACTCTTTGAATTATTGTCCTATTATTCTTCTACCTCTTTTTAGTAACATCCTAGAATCTCTACTCAACTCTCAATTGGTTAAGCCTCTTGTGTTGCATGGTCTTCTTTCAGATAAACAATACAGCTTTTGCTTTTGCATCTCTAGGTCAATTGCTGATGTGTTAATGGTTGTTACTGAATTTGTCTATCAAGATTTAGATAAGAATGGTGAAGCTGTCACTTTAGATATTTCTAAGGCATTTAACAGGGTTTGGCATGCTGGCTTTCTTCACAAGCTGAAGGGCTATGGTGTCTCCAGGTGAATTTTTGACTTGACCCAATCTTTCTAAAATCCTGTAATGAAAGTCATCTTGAAGAGATTTTTCAAGATCCTTTCACATTAATGCAGGTGTCTCCCAGAGCTTTATTCTTGGGCCTACGTTGTTTCTTAATATCCTTCCTGAGTTCCCAACTCTATATTTATGTTCATGACACAACTGTTTACTTCTATCTTAGTAAATCTGATAGGTCTGATAAAGTAAAACTGGCAGCTGATCTTGAAAATGACCTCTAATCAATTGTTAACTGGGGCAAGAAATGGCTTGTAAATTTTAATGCCTCCAAAACAAAACTGCTGTCTTTTAGATACTTTTTTACCTTCCATCAGCATGGCTGATGCGAACCTCCAGAACAACTCATTGTGCTTTCTTGGTTTCATTGGCATGAAGTGGAAAGATTATATTGAATCAATTGCTAAGCCTGCTGCTAGGAAAGTTGGATTCTGGCAAGAAAAATTTGTCTGGCATGATACAGTGAACCCTCTTGCATATTTAGAAATTTACTGTTCATCTGTGCATTGAATATTGCTGCCTCATTTGGTCTTGATGCTTTTCTACAGATACTTTCATGGCAATTGTTCTAATGAGCTTTCCTCCTGGGTCACTTGACCATATGAATTTAAGTGTGCTACAAAGTTGGCTATGACATCTCATTGTTTTATTGTTGAAATAGCTGGATGTAACTGTAAGTTCTGTTCTCATATTTTCTTTTCTCACACTTCTTGCTTGTGGAACTCTCTTCCTGTTTCTTGCTTCCTTGTCACCTATGACTAAAAAATTGAAATGCAAAATCAGTTGCCATTTTATGTCTTCCTGAAACCTCTTCTGTTATTTTCCTTTCTCTTCACTAATATTTTCTTGTTTCCTTTCACTTTCAATCCCTTACGTCTTGGTGGCTTTATTGTCTTGCTTGTAGCATGGAATATTAAGAAAAAAAATATTGTGATGTTCAGTTACAGTATAGCAGAAAAGATGTTTGAGTAAATAATGCAATATTATAGTGTTAGATGAGGTAGAAATATTATTAGTTTCAGGTGTCTGGGTAAACATTAACCTACCAGACACCTGAACTTTGGGCAGGTACAAAGGAATTTGAAAAGAAAATAATTAAAATGAGTAAAATGTTTCCTTAAAAATATTAGTAATACTTGTATATAAATGTCTCCTCTCTCTCCCACACACACATACACTAAAAATAAATACTAAAAGACAATATGAATAAAGACAAATGGTAAACTTTTCTTACCTGAAGGATTTCGTTCTCTGTCAGTTTTCTTTTATCTTGTATATATATATGCACACACAAAGGACTCAATGCCAAAGTCAGCAGAGCTTATATATAATGTAATGAAATTCTGAGTAGCAGATTTTGATATTATTGTATTAATAATATATATTAGTGGTTAGAAAATTTCACTTCCCCTGATTGAACTGTTTGCCAAAAAAACTCTTTTATAATTACTAGCATATAGTAACAACTCTTAAAAATTATAACACCATTTGTTAGACTTGACAGGGGCTAGCATAGTGTATATATATATATATATATATATATATATATATATATATATATATATATATATATATATATTGTGTGTGTGCATATTGTTCATCAAGCAATTTTCAAGCATAATGATGCAAAAAGACATGCTCAGTGGTATTCAATTTTGTAGTAAAAAACAGAAAGTGCAATTGGCTTTATTATATTATTTATATTATATATTATCACAGAATGAATATGTTGGTCGAATATTGATTGCCTCCAGGTACATTTTTCTCAGTTACCTTTGTCCCCACCACACAACTATTTGATAAAAATTAAATTTATTTTTTTATAAGTCATGATTATTGAGACTAGCATAATTACTGAAATGTAATTTAACTTATGGTAAGCTATTACTATTTATCTGCATTTATTAAGTATAAAATGCATTGTATTAGTTTGAAAAGACCTTTCTAAGTTTGTTTTCCTTTTTATTATGACCTATTTTTTAATGTAACCCTTTAAATACTTTTCTCCAATTATTATTATTATTATTATTATTTTACTCTTTCCACCTCCCATCAAAACATATGGGAACAACCTGTAAAGACACTACCACCTAGTGCCAGAGAAATAACTTTAGTGTAGCAAAAAGTTACTGATTAAAAAAAAAACGTTATGACTAGATATTGCTCTATTATATATACTTATTTTTATTCTTTTCATTTTCCAGGATCCTTATAAGAATTTTGGTATGCCTTCAATTGGTCGGCTTTCTAAGTATATTGAACCTCTCAATATACCACAGGTGAGTGATAGAATTAATTCTTTTTATTATTATGCACACGCATCTTTATTCATTTTTTTTTTCTTCTTTTTTTTTTTCTTCTTTTTTTTTTTCTTCTTTTTTTTTCTTCTTTTTTTTTTTCTTGTTTCTCTTTTCTTATCAGCTTGCTTACTTTGATAGTTTTCATAAGTCTATCACTTTTGCTGTGCCCTTTACTTACTTCTTGATGTAATGAATATGCATACACCTGGGTTCCCCCCCACACTAATATGATTGGCTGGTGTCAGCCATAAATACAGACTGATGTGGAGGTACATGGACGATGTCTATTGGCTACACCTATTGCCTACGACTACAACGAGGACCAGTCCATTACGGTTACATGCTAGATTGTCCTACTCGGTTACAGTAGTCCAAAACCACTTTGCTACTTCGAACAAATATATCCCTTTCCGGGACATATCACTTCTATAGAGTAAAAATTCTAATTGTCTTTTAAATTTTTACTATTGTGTATTTTTACAATGTCTTGGATAGACTATTTTTCAGCTTTGAGGTGAATTTTTCTTCTATGTAGAATATGGTTTAAATGAATCAAACATTGTCATTTATTATTTTTGACTTTTAATTTTATCTTATTTCTACCAGGCTCTCCAATCATTATTTGATGTCTGTTAAACAGCATGGATGTCAAAGAAAGAATAAGTTTTTGACAAGATTTTTGACCTATAACCTAACAGTTGCTATAAAGTGCAACAGAAATAGAATGAAAAAGTATTACTTAAATATCAATATTACATCTATAACAGTTGTTAGAGTTAGTATATGAAATTTGTTCAGGAATAGTTAAATTTGTAAGTAAAACTGAAAAGAAAAATATTCAGTTTCTAGAACCGTTTTTGGTAATATTTAATTTAAGACCCCCCCCCCCCAAGCAAAAATTCTGTGAAGATTATATTTAATGCTCTTTCGTAGGTAATTTTTCATTTCAATTTTTGTTTTTTATTCCAATTTTGAGTGTCATTTGACATTCTTAAATATTTCATAATTATGATCAATGAATTTTTAGTTTTCTTGCAAAGAATAATCCTCGCTTGGATTCCAAGCCATGTAGGTATAAAATGAAACATAAATGCAAGTACATTGCTAAAAAATGCCATTATGGAAATTACAAATATTAAAATACCATACACAGACCAAAATCACTACATAAAAATTGGCAAGCAATATGGGATAGTTACCAAAGTAATAAACTTCATGAAATCAGACCGACAATTGGACTTGAGACCACAGAACCATTGCCTGAATGAAGGCAAGATACTATACTGACCCGGGTTTTAATTTAACATGTATATCTCACCCATGTACACCACCTTAAGGCTGAAAAACATGCCTTGATGTACACTTTGTGGACACCAATTAACTATAAAACACATAATGAAAGCATGCAAAAGATATACACATATATGCCATAAATACTATAATATACCAAACTTAGAGTTACTATTAAAAAAAAAAACAAAAAACTCTCAGTTACTAGACTTCCTGAGGGAAATAGGTCTTCTTATGCTTGTAGATATAACACACACAAAAAAATTGCACAAAATAGTTGTTTACCAATACAAAATATTCACATCCCAAAACATCTTTCTATAAAGCAGTCACAGAATAAAATAAAAAGAATTTAAAAAAAAAATACTTTGTGTGGAAAAACTACTTAATTCTGTATAAAATGGCCCATAAATTTGATGTATCAGTAAGCAATACCTTATCCTACATTTAATTTTCTTGTAATTATTTTCCCTCCTCTTGTAGGTCCGTTGTGACAGTGGCATCATGGAAGGCAGTGAGATTAGTATATACTATGATCCAATGATTTGCAAGGTAAGCGTTTTTTTTTTATTTTTGTTAGGTTGTGTATATTATATGGGGTATTATTTTTTTAAATTGATTTGTAAATGTCCAATTTTTTTTTTTTTTTTTTTTACTTTAATGTGCACCTGTAGAATAACTAAAATTCTGGGATGCACTTTAAATTTTAATAAGGTAAAATTGGTCATGAAATTTGAAAATGGGAAAATAATAAAGAAGTCTCCTGGAATAAACATTTCTTTTTAAGATGTTTGGTGTCTCTAGTTTTTTAAAAATAAATTTTTTCCTTTTTTTTAAATATAAAAATAATTCATAAATTACTCTTCTGTTAACTTGGAATACACCTGGTTACTTTGGTGCACAGGTTGAGAAATGCTGGTTTAAAGAAATGAAAGATACAGGCTTATTGTTGAGCAAAATATGATTTATTCTTCAAAATTTAAATGAGAAATTCAAAGCTATGTGAATTCCCTGAACGATTTCACAAGTTTTCAATATATGCATTGTCTGTGTCTATATGCATTGTCTGTTAAGTTGGTAGTCCAGCTCCTGACGGACAGTCTCCAGGGCAGTAATGATTCTCTGCTTGAGTTCCTCTAGGATTGTAGGAAGAGGGGTATTACTCTTCCGATACTAGTGGTTGTCCTGATCCTTTTGTTCTGCACAGACAACCTTCTTCATAAATGTATGCTGCACAGTCTAGTTTGACTATATTCAAGTATACTCTAACATACAAAACACCTTTTTTCTTTTCTGGTGAATGGCATTTCTATACCAGAAAATAAAATGAAAATATTACTCGTAGAAAATTGAGTTGTTTCTACACATGTTGTTAAAATTTGACGTCATTTGAATGAGAATTGGTCAGTTCGTTAGATTACAGAATATTATTTTTTCTGAAGCACTCTGTATATTTCTCATTGCTGAAATAAAAATATTTCTTAGAATGGCTGAATTAGATTCTTTGTCAAGATGAACTATTTTGGTAATTTTATTTTTTTCTACCTCTGCTATAAATAGTTGGTAACAAATTTTCCAAATTGCCTGTCTGCTAGGGTAGTTAGCCAGTCCTTGTCGTAGAAACCTGCTCAGACATATTTATGTTTAACATCCACAGTCCACTTGCAACTATACTGAGCAGACCTTAGTTAAAGTTTCTTGGAGAGTGCACATAATTTGGCTTGATCAGCAGTTTGGCCAATGCCAGTCACCCTTAATCATAATGACTTGTGACCTTATGCTAGCAAAATGATTGATGGCTTCCAAACAGTTCTGTTTACTCAATTTCTCTTAAAAGGGTTAGGTCAACCCATGGTATGGTTTTTAGGCACTTTCCAAATGTGCTGCATTCTGGGATTTCTCTCATCAAGATTGATAACATCAAGAAATCAATTGCTTCATCCACCGCAAGGAAAGTTGGTTCCCTGTGTTATGCCAGAAAGTTTCTCTTGCCCGAGTCCATCCTTCAAATCTATAAATCAACCATTCACCCTTGCATGGAATACTGCTGCCATATATGATCTGGTGCCCCTGCTGTTCGTTTTAAGGTCCTCAATAAAATCCAGAGACGGATACGCAATGTGATTGGCCCTGATCTGGCATCTCGTCTACAGTTGCTCTCTCACAGACATGTTGTCACCTCCCTCTGTCTTTTCTACAAATACTTTCATGGTAACTGCTCCAATGAGCTACTTTTGCTAGTTCCCAGATTGCATCAATTTAAACATGCTACTAGGCTGGCCTCTCGGTCCCACCCTTTCACTGTTGAAACGGTTAAATGTAGCCGTCTCTTCTACTCCAATAGCTTCATGTCTGTGGAATTCCCTTCCTATTACTTGTTTCCCTGATAGCTATAATCTCTAACTATTCAAATGTAATGTCAATGGACATCTCCATATGCCTTGATCTATTCCCTGTCCTTTTCTTCATCCTTTCCTCTATCACGCCTCTTTACTCTTGTTCTCACTCTCTGTAACCCCTTGTGTGCTAGTGGCATCCCGCCTTGCTTGGGATGAAATGCTTTAAAAAAAAAAAAAAGTCACCTTTCTGAAAAATTGACTAAGGTAAGATTCAAACCCAGGTCTTGTGATTAGAAAGAGAACTTTCTAAATACTTGGCCAAGCATCTATGTATAAGAATCAAGAAAATTCTGCTGATGTGTCTTGATTAAAAATGGCTGTGGTTTTTTTACACCACTGTGTTATTTGTATTCTGAAATATAAATTATTGTCGCTACACAAAATATGTAAAATTAATGATATAATAGAATAATACTTATGCAAATGCCAAATATAAACTTATAAGTGGTAAATAACCACCATATCAAATTGATGATATTAACCAAAAAAAAAGTAATTAAATTTCAGTCTTAAAAATTTTTACAAATTTACGTGTGTTAATCTCCATGTTACTCTTGACAGCACTGTCTTGTTTATAGTCTTCTAAAATTTGATAAAAGAAAGTTATTTCTCTTTTTTGCCATCTCAAAAAATTTCATGACCTAAAAAAATGGTAGTTTATCAGAAAAATCATTCTTTATTTTTATTTTATTTTTTTTTTTTTTTGTTGCTTTTTCCTCCTTAGTTGGTCACTTATGGTGAGACAAGGGAAACTGCTAGGAAGACAATGTTGGCTGCATTGGATTCATATGTCATCAAAGGTAAAGTTAACCTTAAAAAGCCTTCTTCAAAAATATCTTATATATGTTAGGAAGAATATTCCTGTGGAAACAAAATATTAGTTTATGATGTATGAATTATTTTAACTATTTTACTATTATCCTTTTCAAATATTGTCTCAAATAACTAGGTAACTAATCTTTTTCATCAGACTAGAATTTTTTTTGCAACACGCTGATGTGTGTTGAAATCCTTACAGTATTTAATATTGTTGAATTTATTGCTAACATTTTTTGTTGAGATTTACAAACCCTATGTTTCATTTAATTTCGCAAACCAATTGATGAAATTTGAATAATTCAGACAGACTCTAATAGATTTATTTGTTAGATCATAAATATATATTTTTTCTTTTTACCGTCCTTTTGAATGTTTGGTGTATATAAATTTTCTTGATATATTTAGGTGTTTCTCATAACATACCACTCCTTCGGGATATTTTAATGGAACCTAAATTCATTAATGGGGATTTGACAACAAACTATTTACATGAAACTTATCCAGAAGGATTTAAAGGTAAGTAAGATTTTGTCATTTGTCGTCTTCATTTGAATTTGTGATTAAATTTTAATTGAATTTTGTATTGATTGTTAAACATGAATTTTTTTTTTTTTTTTTAATTAATTTGTTTTTTTTAATTAATTTGTTTTTTTTAATAATATTCATATCCTTACTAAAATGAAATTTATGTTGTATAAGGAATATCTTGGCATTGTCAAGGTGGGTTGCAATTTAAAATTTATAAGCCGACGACAAACATGAAATTCTTATAAGCTGCAGATATTTTTTTGTAAAAATGCACAGGATTAAAAGAAAAAAAAGACCAAATAAAGATTGGATAAAATACCAAAAAAAACATTGATTTTTCAAATGGCAGCTTTTTCAGTAGAAACCGCAGATAAATGAAACCCAAACAAACAATAACTACAAACTGCTAAACTAACAATAAAACTGTAGAAGATTTCTATCATTGTTTAATCTTTTGTTTTTAATCCACCACTACACCTTTTTGTTTTGAAGGGATAAATCGTGACTGAAATACCTATTATGTAGCTATGCTTGATAATTTCTGTATCCAGTTGCACACTGCTTGTGTTTAAAATCAGAAAACAGCTACATTCAAATTTAAACAAAAGTGTGACTATTTTATATTAAATATCACTGTAAACTAAGCTCTCTAGCCTTGAATGGCAGTCAGTCTAGGAGGAAGATAATCTTGAAGTCAAAACCATGGAGAAATCAATGGGAGGAAACCACTGTATTGTCTTTCTCAAAAATAATAAAGAAAACAAATCTCTTGAGAGTGATGCCTTCATCCTGAAGGGATATGGCATATAAAAAAAAAATCTTCATTGCTCCATGAAAGTACCCAGTATGATACCCTGATAATTTAATAGATCATGGGAGATGTTGATTTGGTATTCTTTAAGTATACCTCGCCCCCCTCTTTTTTTAAAATCATGTAAAATTTTAAGAGATTTTTTGAAATTTTAATTTGTATTATTAGGTTGGTGCAAAATAATGACGTAATAATGTCGTTTTTTGACGTATTTTTAACGTCAAAAACGACATTATTATGTCATTATTTTGCACCAACCTAATAGTTACATTTGCTAGGTTGATAGTTTTGCAAATTTTTAAACAAAATAAAAAAAAAATAAAATCTTGTTATATTTGATTTTTTTTTTTTTATGTAAATTTTTGAAGTTTTCAAAATATGTACTTTACTAAGCTTCAAAAATGAACATCACATCATATAATTCTGTGTCATCCTCCATTATTTCTTAAGATTAATATGGGACTTCCATTTTGATTGTGGTGAAAGATGTAAGAAAAGGGTATATATCAAATGTTGTTTGGTTTTAGTGAGAAAAAAAAAGAAGCATACATAAGAAATGAGTGACTACTATTAAGAATATTTTCTACAAAAAGTGTTGACTTAATAATGTTAGAATGGTATAATGTTTTTAAAATTTGGTTTTATTCCATATATATTTAAGGTTTATCTTGTGAAGGTCACACTTTTAGAATAAAGAGTTTATTTTAAATACTGTTATAAAAATATGTAAAATTGCAGTTTTACTGTCAATTTCAAATCTTTTAAAAAGGACAAGAAAGAAAATTAGGGTTTCAACTAATCTTATGCCTTTCAAAAAGAAAAAAGATTTAGTTGAAGCAAGGATGAAAAAAACACTCTTACTACTCTCTGTGAAATTTGCAAGGAAACAAAACCTTTATTAAAATGTTAAAAAAATATTTTTACAACACTAAATTCTACAAAAATACAAAATGGCATTGTATGGGCTGATTAACAGTTCTTGCAAATACAAATTTAAGCTTTCTCTCAAAAAACAAACAGTTCATGAAAATCCAATTTTTCTTTTCTTTTGGTAATAAAAAGAATTTTACTTACTAATTCAAAGGCTACTTATTTACCTATTTTATGTTTTTCTTTCTTCAGGCAAACACCTGACACCTACTGATTTGTCAGAGTTGGTTTCTATTGCTGGTGTCCTGCATGCAAAGAAAGAAATTCGGTCATGGGATGTCTTCAATCAGGCAGTGTAAGTAAAAATATTACGTATGTTGGTCAATATGTTAATGTTCAAGTGACTTATCTTTTGATTGACTCTAAAGTTTCATATAACACTACTCATCAGCGGCAGATAGTCTGATGAATCTATTGAATTATTATTAGGTGTTATATTTATACTCAACAAAACAAATGCTCATAATGTTTTTCAAATTTCAAATGTGACATTTAAATATCTCGCCTTGATGAATGGTACTCTATTTACATTATTTGGACTATTGTCCTCATCTTTGTTGTCATATTTATTACAACGTTTTGGCCGTTGTACACTCCAGCCTTCTTCAGGTGGTTGGAATGTCGAACTGAACCCTTTATTAGTAGACTGTTCAAGGACACATGGCACAGTGGATAAAGGCATTAGTTAGATCCAGTGACAGGACCCAAAGAGTGTGAGTTCAATACCTGGTTAAGGCGGTGGAGAACTTGGAGAGGGTAATTAACAGGAGATAACTGATAATAGACATCCATTAGACCTGGCATGTGGAACTAAAACAGTCTACTCCAACGAGCGAAATAAAGGGTTCAATTTGACATTCCAACCACATGAAGAAGGCCGGAGCGTACAACGGCCGAAACGTTGTGATAAATATGCCAACAAAGATGTGGACAATAGTCCGAATAATGTTAATGGTGCAATATTTATTATTCATTATTTTATAAAGATTTATTCACCATTCCTATAAAGAAATGCAAAGCCGTATGTGAAAGTTGGATATAGGCCATAGACAAACTGGATCTAACTAATGCCAAAGAGTGTAAATTCAGTACCTGGTTAAGGCGGTGGAGAACTTGGAGAGGGGAATTAACAGGAGATAACTGATAACTGACATCCATTAAGCATGGCACGTGGAACTAGAACAGTCTACCCCAGTGAGCGAAATAAAGGGTTCAGTTCGACATTCCAACCACCTGAAGAAGGCCAGAGTGTATAATGGCTGAAACGTTGTAATAAATATGGTGACAAAGATGAGGACAATAGTCCGAATAATGTAAATAGGTGTACATATAATACCTCGTCTCAGAAATATCGACAAATACTTGATGAGTGGTTTTGTACAAAAACTTTATAGTTGGTCAAGGTTTTGTCTGAATTTCTGGGATGAAGAGCCATCACTATTTACATCACTTAGATACAAACTATTGTCCTCGTCTTTGTTGTTGTTATCACATTCAGCCTGAAGTGTGATGCTAACAACAAAGATTAGGGCAATAGTCTGCATGTAAATGATGTAAATCTTGTCATTTTAATTATCCATGGAGCACTTCCTTGGCAAAAATTTTGTTAGTCTTCATATATATTGTTGGTTACCTCCACATAGCCTTACCAGTTGCGCAAAGAAATTGTTAGATGGTGCTATCAAACAACTATCAATATGGGGCACTTCCTATCTTTTCTCTCTTTTCATTCTAGCATGCAGTAGCAGTGGCACCTCTGGGACTTTGTTCCTTGGCATGGGGATGTCTTTCCCTTTAGTAACTGAACTTTTTCTCACACACATGCACACATACTTGCATGTATCTCTTGTACAATTTCTAACTTCTAGTGTCTTCTTTCCTTTACATGCATACCAGTATATTTTCTCTTATTTATTAATCAGTCAATTGTTATATAAAAACATGTAACCTAGGGAAGGTTACTGAATAGAATAATCACATGGAGATTGATAATGAATGATAATACTTAGGACATGAACAACACATATAAGATTCGCCAGCGGCACGTAGAAATAGTAGTCAACTGCTAGAAGTGAGTCAAGTGAATTTCACAATGAATCTCCAACTGCAGGATATCTACCAACTGCCCCATGTGGTCATATGTGGCACAAGTCTGAATTTAATGTGGGGTATCCAAGCCAGTAGGCTCGGCCAAAAATTCCCCGTAGACCCCCATATAAAATGGGGTCAGGTAGCTGTTTCCCAAGACAAGACTCTGCCCTTCAACATAGCCTCGCCTGGGGATCCTATCTGTCCTGAGGCAGAGTGTTTGACCAGCACAGCTGAAGACAAATCTCTGACTGCAAACCAACATACAGTATTTACTACTGTATTTATGTGAATGGGGTACATACCCATTATCATCTGTAGGTATGCTACAACAAAACACATGAAAATGTTGCCTTGTTGAAATTTATTCCATTTCTTATTGCCACTACAAGTAATGATGATCTGTCATTTACATGTGTACATTTTGGTTGTCACTGCTTTTAGTCAAACTAGGAACAGTACTGCAACAATGTTAAATTCTACTAACTTTTATGTATTTTGGTAGATGTTATTGATTTGTATTATATAAACCTTAAATAGAGATTAAACACATTGGTTATAAATATCATGAAAAAAAAATTCACAAATCACAAGTAAGTTTTGAAATAATACTGGATTGCAAAATATTCTTTTTAAAATAGTTTTTCTTTTAAGTCTTTTTTTTTTACCCATGGTGCATAAAACAGATATTGGCATAAAAGAATTTAATCCTCTTAAAATGATATTAAAAAGAACAAAAAAAATTATTGATATATGCCATACATCCAGTTGTGGGATATTTCCATTTGTCATGCTTATAATCTTGATTCAAACTCTGGTGTATTGATTTTAAGAGAAAATTTGTCATAATTTTTGTAGTTTTTAGGAATTATTTGAAGGACAATTTCAGTAAGAAATATACAGATATGATAATTGAAGATGATGAGATTGCGGTTACATTAAAAATGGATTTTATTTAATACTCAGCACACGTTGCTAGCTGCAGCCAAATGTTAAAAATGGTTGAACATTTTTTTTTTCTTTTTTAATACTAGAATTTTTTTTGCAACACGCTAATGCATGTTGAATTCCTAATTTTTGTTGAGATTTACAAACTCTGTTTTCTTCAATTTTGCAAACCAATTAGTGAAATTGGAATAAGCTGATTTTTTTTTTAAAATATTTTGACAAAAACCCTACTTCACAGTTTAATAATGTCTTTTTAATTTAATTTAATTTTATAGGACTTCATGGTAAACAATATTTTTTAAGAAAATTTCTTTTTTTCCTTTTTAACAGTGAAGAATAAATTCTTAGGATTTCTTACTCTTGACCATAGTAACATGTCACTGGCCATATATAAATATTTTTTTCTGAGCCAAATTCCAACTATTTTTGAAGCATTTGACCTTGTGATTTGTTTATAGTTCTTGCCAATGCAGGGCAGATTGGAAACTGGATTCTTGTATATAACAACTTAAGGAAAACATACGCAAAAGACAATATTACATTTTCATTAAGTATTTTTATTTTAATCATTGTCTTTAAAAAAAGTGGAAGTTTTTTTCTATATTAAATAATAAAACTTAATTTTTTGCCCAAAAAATTAATTGAAATTTATTGTACTAAGTTATGCACCCTAGTAAAACCAACTGTGCTTTATACCCACTTACCTGTTTGCATTTCTTCCTGAAATTTGGTTTTGATCAGTTAAATTATGGCTATTTTAGAGAGTGTGACAGATGGACTAACAGAAATCACAGAATTTTATATATAGATTATTATTGGTTAGAAAAATTTAGTTTTTGATTGGTAGAAAAAGTGACTGATGAAATTCAATTTTGCATGGAGTATATGCTTGAACTAGACTAAATCTACCTGGGTTCATTTTATGTACGAAAGAAGTAATACCAATCAAATATATTGAAGACTTTTTTTTTTATAAGGAGAAGAAAATATGGGATACCTTGTTGTTTCTTTGTTTTTCTTTCTTTTTAACTGTAAAAGAATGGCTATTATTTAACAATACTGGTTGAAGAATAGAAGAAAAAGTAGAAATGACTTACAGGGAAATAATTATTCTTTTTCTCTTCCCAAATGCACATAATAGTATTATTATCTAATATGAAAATAGTTCTTTTGCATAAAAGAATCAATTTCTCCATTATACTTTGAGTGATAAATATTTCCTCTTTTGGGAATCTTTGATTATGTATCCAATGAAATTGACATAAATGAAGTTTTTTTTTTTCAATTCCTTACAAAATCACTGATATGTGCTAAATTTTAGGATTTCTTTTATGTGCTGTGTTCCTTCAAGACGTGGGTGATTATGATTCTTCACAACTTCCTGTACTTTGTAGCTCTTGGCAATATTTGTCTTTTTGCTATCTTTCCTAATCTCTGTTCTGCCAGCTATTTATACAAGCTCATTAGGTAGGTTATTCATTGCTTTCCTTTGTCCTTTTGTTTACATATCTTGTGAGTGTCAAATTTTCCAAGCTCTCTTTCTTCATGATGTGCTCTAGAAATTTCAATTGTCTCTTTCTGATTCTAAGTATAAATATCTTTTTCTTTTTGTTTCCATTTTCTCTGGAACTTTGTCATTGCTCACATGTTCACTCCATGATATTCTCAGTATCCTTCAGTAGAATATAATTTCTGTTGCCTCGAGTCTTTTCTTCATGTGTGATGAGATTGGCCATATAGGAAGATGGATATTACTTAACAGTCCCAGTACTCTTTTAGCTTTATTTTGTATTGCCTATGAAAAAGAAAGAAAGAAAAAATTAAAGTCTGACAAAAAGTCATAAAGCAATGTTTATTTTCTTGTATAACAATATCTGAAAATGTCAGCATGGCTGACAGCATATTGAATGATAAATGCATTTTATTGATAGACTCAGATCAGTTAAGAATATATATGCACACACACACACATTAATCATTTTACATTGATGTCTGGTGCTGGTAATTCTTTTCAAAAAGTGGATGTTCAAACCAAGTTGTATATTGTTCATAGATGCAATTTTATGGGTTATTGATTTATTTTTGCTTTCTGCTTTTGGGCCAGACAAGTTGGCTTTTGTGCATGAAAGCTAATTTGTAGTTCATACCATTACTTATTGCTACTATTGTAATGCAAAGGTACATCAGGAAAAAAATATTCTCTCTCTAATATATATATATATATATATATATATATATATTGTGTATTTGGGCAGCAAT